GGTTCATGTCGTATGACCTACAGACAGCAGACCACCTCCACAATACGACCACGAAAGGATGAGATGGTGGGGCGCTCTGGCAGTACTGTACGGTATAATTATTTACTGGCTCAGTATCCGAAATAATTCATCGCCATTGCGGTTGTGCATCCTCTACATACAATGTACATGTGCATTTAGAAATGCTTGCACAGCACGACAACAAAAACTCTCCTTCTTTTCATCGCGAGTGTGCGACCGACGCAGGGCCGGCGGAACCGGTCAGGCTGGTCCGGCCATGGCCGGACCACTTTCCCAGCTGGATGGTCCATGTGATTCGTGCAAAACCGGTGTAAAAAAATCCAGAGGTACGAGTACATGACTCGACTGTACTGCCGACATGTGATGTGCTTCGAAGTAGCTCAGGACTCCGTGACCGGCACTGTATGGCTGATATGGATAAAAAAAGTTGTGTTTGTGTTCTTTTACTATAATTTTCTGCATTCACAGAAGCTTTTCTGCGATGCGACACGCGATGCGACGCGATCTGCGATGGATGCGTGCGATGCGAACTCGCGAAATACCATTCACAGAAGAAGTCAGCGATGCGACAAAGTTTTGCTGATTTGGGTACGTCACCATGATATTCGCGCGGTTTGACACAACTTGTAAAAATTTATAGGCAACTCTTGCACCTTTGTACAACTTTGCTGTAGAAAAGGTCAAAATCGTACACCAAATCGCTTGTCGCATCGCATCGCATCGCAAAAGTTGAGCCAAGCTCAACTTCTGCGATGGCATGCGATGGCCCAGTTGCGTCAGTTGCGTGGGGTGCGACATGGCTGCGATTTGGGGTTTTCCCGGGTTCGCGCCTGTCGCATCGCGTGTCGCATCGCAAAAAAGCTTCTGTGAATCCCGCTTAAAAGCCCGATTCACAATACAACTTTCTGCGACGCGACACGCGATTTGCGACAGTTGCGACAAGAAACTGCCTGTCGCGAGCTGTCGCAAGCTGTCGCAAGCTGTCGCAATGCACCTGTCGCAGAAGTTGAAGAAAGTTCAACTTTTGCGACATGTGACACGCGACATACACAAATGGAGTACAGTTTCGACCCTGGGTGCACGTGCAGTGCACGTGCATAGTACTACTTGTGCATGAGGATGTCGCAAACATGAAGAATATTGTGAACCGTGTGTCGCTGTCGCAGCTCGTCGCATGTGTCGCAAGTCGCATGTCGCGTCGCAGACATTGCGACGCATGCGACGAGCTGCGACAGCGACACACGGTTCACAATATTCTTCATGTTTGCGACATCCTCATGCACAAGTAGTACTATGCACGTGCACTGCACGTACACTGCACGTGCACCCAGGGTCGAAACTGTACTGCATTTGTGTATGTCGCGTGTCGCATGTCGCAAAAGTTGAACTTTCTTCAACTTCTGCGACAGGTGCATTGCGACAGCTTGCGACAGCTTGCGACAGCTCGCGACAGGCAGTTTCTTGTCGCAACTGTCGCAAATCGCGTGTCGCGTCGCAGAAAGTTGTATTGTGAATCGGCCTTAAAGCTGGATTCACAGAAGCTTTTTTGCGATACGACACGCGATGCGACAGACGCGAAACCGGGAAAACCCCAAATCGCAGCCATGTCGCACCCCACGCAACTGCCGCAACTGGGCCATCGCAGGCCATCGCAGAAGTTGAGCTTGGCTCAACTTTTGCGATACGATGCGATGCGACAAGCGATTTGGTGTACGATTTTGACCTTTTCTACAGCAAAGTTGTACAAAGGTGCAAGAGTTGCCTATAATTTTTTACAAGTTGTGTCAAACCGCGCGAATATCATGGTGACGTACCCAAATCAGCAAAACTTTGTCGCATCGCTGACTTCTTCTGTGAATGGTATTTCGCGAGTTCGCATCGCACGCATCCATCGCAGATCGCGTCGCATCGCGTGTCGCATCGCAAAAAAGCTTCTGTGAATCCCGCTTAAAGCCCGATTCACAATACAACTTTCTGCGACGCGACACGCGATTTGCGACAGTTGCGACAAGAAACTGCCAGTCGCGAGCTGTCGCAATGCACCTGTCGAAGAAGTTGAAGAAAGTTCAACTTTTGCGACATGCGACACGCGACATACACAAATGGAGTACAGTTTCGACCCTGGGTGCACGTGCAGTGCACGTGCATAGTACTACTTGTGCATGAGGATGTCGCAAACATGAAGAATATTGTGAACCGTGTGTCGCTGTCACAGCTCGTCGCGTGTGTCGCAAGTCGCATGTCGCGTCGCAGAAAGTTGTACAGTATTGTGAATCGGCCTTAAAGCGGGTTTCACAGAAGCTTTTTTGCGATGCAACACGCGATGCGACAGGCGCGAAACCGGGAAAACCCCAAATCGCAGCCATGTCGCACCCTACGCAACGGCCGCAACTGACCCATCGCAGGCCATCGCAGAAGTTGAGCTTGGCTCAACTTTTGCGATGCGATGCGACAAGCGATTTGGCGTACGATTTTGACCTTTTCTACAGCAAAGTTGTACAAAGGTTCAAGAGTTGCTCATAAATTTGTACACGTGGTACCAAACCGCGCGAATATCATGGTGACGTACCCAAATCAGCAAGACTTTGTCGCATCGCTGACTTCTTCTGTGAATGGTATTTCGCGAGTTCGCATCGCACGCGTCCGTCGCAGATCGCGTCGCATCGCGTGTCGCATCGCAAAAAAGCTTCTGTAAATCTGTGAATCCCGCTTTAGAGATGCCCAAATTCGCTCTATTTCACGTAAATTTTAAATATTTCTCCCGGGGGAGGTCCCCCGGACCCCCTCAAAGATTGGCCGGACCACTCCCAAACTCCTTCTTCCGGCCCTGCGACGCTTCCATGGCAACTCTGGGACAGGTGACCAATCAGGGTGACATCTCCTAGATAGGACATCTCCCTGACACGGGCACTACCACAAAGTCGTTGCGAATTTGCGATCTGACACTCATCATACCCCAAGAGTCCATGGGGGGGGGGGGGGGAGGAGGAGGATTATGGACTCTTGATCATACACGTAGATCTACGAACCGCCAGGCGAGCGTCCTAAACACTAACATCAAGAGTACATAACCCAACCTTGTTTGATAGATATTAGATACCAATCAACATGTAGATGCTGGTCATGGGGTGAGCCATGTTTAATAGACTGCCTCGGATATTGATCAACATGACGCTTTCATCATGCTTGCGCTGCCCGCTGTCTCGCTCTGGCAACCATGGCAACCACACTCTCTCCTTTCTTGCTGCTACTGTCAGTACTGACTACTGTTTGTGCTAGCAGCAAGTGTACAGTCACACATGTAGTCCTTACTTATCATAAGTTACAAGTATTGGAAAATGAAAAAGGACCAAGAAACTACAAGTTACCGCTATAATGTCCACTATTATAAACACCACCAGTTACTAAACTAGTTTTCATTTTCTATAAATTTTTCCTTGGCTCTCCATCCGAGTCCATACAAGTATTGGGCGCTTATTTACCTTTGTTGGCAGGTGGAACTCCTTACTCCCTACTGCCCTAGCCCCTGGCTGTCGTACTGCTACGTCTCATGCTGAGTTCGTGCAGCTGTACTAGTGCCATCATTCATAGGGTACCATGTAGTAAGATAACATAGCCTGTAACGCTAGCATGATATGGATACAATCCCAATCCCGCAAAGACCACTCTTCTGGTAAAGCCGCAGTACCTGGACCGGGCTGAGAAAGTGTTCCAGCGGACGGGAATCTGCGTCACGACGGTGGGCCACCAGTATCTCGGCGGGATCGTTGCTTCTGAAATGTATTGTCATCGTGCCGGAGACAGGTGTGTCAACAACTGGCGACGGGAGCTGATGGCCCTCGCTACAATGGCGGAAAAGCAACCCTGGGCTGCCTACGCTGTGCTCACAAAGGGCTTATCGTCCAAATGGTCCTACCACTTGAGAGCATCATTGTTAGATCCCGTTACCCTGGCACCGGCAGATGAGGTATTGGGTCATCAATTGCTTCCTGCCCTTTTGAGCCAGGGAATGGCAGCTGACAGCTCGCAGAGACAGCTTCTGTCTCTCCCCACGCGTTTCGGGGGCTTGGCAATCCCTATGGTAGCAAAGTCTGCAGAGGCAGAGCATGCGCCTTTCGATGTAAGGGTCACTGACCTTGGGCCGTCCTTGCTCGTCCGGAAATCCTTAGCCACCTGAGAACACACGGGCGAATGAAGAAGGCGGTGTATGGTGCCAGAGTTGAAGGGGAAGGATACCCTAACATCAAATTTTCACCAGTTATTCTTTGGGGTGCTGACTCTGCTGAGTCGAATGGTCTTGGTCCGTGGAAGCTGAGACGCTCCCCTCCTCCTTTATTCCCAATCGAACTCGCCACTTCCACCAAAACTGGGTGACTGCGCCCTACTAGATGGGGATTTGTATGCAAAATATCACTAAAAGCGCCATTTCGTTCTTATAAAAGCACGGATGACCACGATTGGCCCACATGTTGTAGTCTTTTGGACGCAGAGTCGACTGGTTTTGGTCCGAAAAGGCTGCGATGCAGCGTTCGGCCCTTATTCCCAATCGAACACAGTCGAGTAAGCAGTCATGTGCTCATGCATACACCAGTCACCTGGTCACCGCGCTCACAGGCTACAACTTTAAAGACAAAAAATGTTGACCTCCCCCCCCCCCCCCCCCCTCTCTCTCTCCGGGTTGTCTACTAATGAGGGTAGACCTATATTCCGACAATCTCGGTTTCCTAAAAGTTTTTCCCAAGTCCAACAAAAATGTAGCAAAGCACTAATTTACATTGCACTCGAGACTGATGCTCCAATGCATGAAACCCAGAATGCTCAGAATGCACAGGCGTCCACAGGAGACAAAGTAAAATGCTGACACGGTCTACAGTAGTGCGCACATGGTGATATACAGACTGTAGATGCACTCAGTACTGGACTCTATATAGTATATACATGTACATGTAGGTAGGGATCCAGCAAGGCTGGAGAAACAGTATTTTTTAAAGTTTTTTAAAATTCTACCCGTTAGTCAAACGTACAAGGGTTTACAGAAACAGCAAAAAAGGAAGAAAACCATCAGAGGAAAATAGTACAACACGATATTAAAACTTAAAAGTGCAAGAACAAAACCAAGCTATGTCCAAATCTGATAACATCACAACAAGTAGCAGGTCAGTCTCAGCATGCATATCAGCATGCATATCAGCATGCATATCAGCATGCATATCGAAGGATATTGAGATTCTTCAAGGGTTGTAATCCTCCTCCACTGCATGTACCGCCAACTCACCATTCGACAAGTAGAAAAGTTCACGATCTAAATGCTGTTTTGACTGCAACTGACTTGAAATATGCAAACGTTGTGTACTAAAAATTGTGCAAAGTGAAACAATCATGTCAATGAGCACATGAGCCATAGAAGGTAAGGTGCCAGAAGGCTATGGATAAGATAGAATGAGATTATGAGTAACGCTAGTTGCTACATGCTGATGCAAACGCATCATAACATCAATGGTCCCTAAAATAGAGAGAAAGACAAAGACCTAAACAGGTATCTTGCTAATATAAAGTGCAAGGACTAGAGAAATGATACAGAGACGAGGCTGAAGAAAAAATAGTGCAAAACAAAACCTGGTCTGATCCAATTCAGTGCTCTGCATTGCACATCACATCTTGTAATACATGTAGGTGAGCTCTTATAGTGCACGGAGACAAACCTTGAGCAGAGTAGCCAGGACGACGCCAGTGTCAGCACTATAGTACACCATGTTGTGTATTTAAAAAATAGTTTATTGATCACCATGCACCAGCCATTGAATACCCACAAATGAGACGTAGTTGCATGAAACCAATAATAATTACTATGCTTCTCAGAAATTTTAGCAAGGAAAAGAGAAAATATGCTCAAAATTTGATCAAGCTGCGGACATATCCTCCAACTCCCGGTACTGTGTAGATGGATTGGTGGCATCTAAAGAGTTCACACTGTCGTTGTCATTTTCGAGTTGGCTAGGTGCGAAAGACTGGCCACAGCACGTGTTGAGGAAAAGACGTAGGCGAGGTTTCCAGTCCGGTGGCAAATTCAGAAAGACGAAGATAGGGATATTTATAACGGACAGGATAATCAGCACAGCTCCAACAAACTCTGCCCAGCCAGGGAACTTAGTTTCGACAGTCTTGTTCTGTGTTCCGACCAAAGACAAGAATGAAAGAAGGCAATGTTCAGGATCATAAAGAATCATGTACCAATCTTTTTAAAGGAAGTGGTTTAGAGCAGACCCGCTCCTAAGTTTTTTAAGACAGAAAAGGACACACTTCTCATTCTGAGTACAAACACAGAATGATCTGTGCAGGAATTCAAATACCCTCCCATCCCTAACCCTAATACACCCACTCTCCAATTTCTTCAAATCATTATACCGGTACGTGTTGCTCCCTGCACATACACATACACATCAATGCATGACGTGTTCCTGCACACATAAACGTATCGGGGAAAAAGAGTGAAACCCCTTTTCCATTCCCTCAAATAATGAAAACCCAGAATACATCTTCATTCTTGAATGTAGTAAACATGATGGGCAAAATATAGTGGCCCAAGTGTCAGCTTTATGACAACTACCCTCCCTCAAAAATCGAAAGGTGGTCATGCTGCCCCCCCCAAAAAAAAGAAAAAGAAAAAAGAAATCTAACATCGACTGAAATATAGTGAGCGCACTCATACCACGACTACAATGGAACAATAGAGAGGTTCTGCAAAACGAAAATGTGTACGAACTTTCGCTCTACGTCACGGAGTGAGAAACTTCGCACGAACTTTCGCAACTTTGGACGCGAAACTTGCAGGGAACGCGAAATGAACTTTCGCAGGAAGTTTCGTGAGATCGGGCCATGGTGTACGTGCACTTGGCGCGTGCAAACTACGAAAATGTGCAGAACACAAAGTTCGTGCGAAAATTCGTACGCATTTTCGCAAGGCCTGTCGCGAAACTTCGTTCGAATTTTCGTTGTGCAGAACCTCTCTAATATAGAAGGATTTGAACGTCGTTTTCATGTGATAATCATCAGAAATCGTGTTATGTCTTTTTCCTCAAGTGAAATCTGTGTGAACTTGAAAGAAGTACATGTCTGTCCGAATGTCAAATGGCGACAAATGGCGACGATTTTTGTACGAGCCCCGGAACCGTTCGACGGTGGCGATTTCGCTGAATACCGCGAGCGGATTGAATTTTATTTTTGTGCCAACTCTATTGGAGTTGTATCAGCCAGTGCCTCGTCAGGGGAGAAGAAAGCGGCAGAGAAACGTGTAACTGCCAGCCTAATTGCGAATTTGTCAAAAACGGTATACTCCACGTTGAAGTCTCTGGTCTTACCTGACGCCGTGGCAGACAAGAAATATTCTGAGGTTTGTGAGGTCCTGGAGAATTATTATTGTGTCAAGACAACTCCCACCACAGCAGCGTTCAAGTTCCGGCAGTGCTGCCAAAAACCGAGTGAGTCTGTTCAAGATTATGTAAACCGCCTAAAACGTGCTGCAGTCGACTGTAATTTTCAAAGTCACCGAGATCGAGCATTGAAGAACCAACTGATCACTGGCCTCAATGTAGACAGTATACGTCGAAAGCTGCTTACCACAGCGGAGAGAGATATGGACACTTTTGAAAAGACGCTGGAGATCGCGCTACGTCAGGGGCTGGCCTCAGCCCATTCAAAGGAGTTGTCGGCTGCATCGATGAGCTCGACTTCGGCAGCAAGTGTGCATAAGATCAAGATGCAATCATCTAGTACTAGTAGTACCTGTTCTCGTAACTTCAGGTCACCGTCAAGTGCCAGTAGTACTCACGGTACTAGTAATTCGAAAGGGAACAAGTCACACACCACCCGCCTGTGCTATCGTTGTGGCTCGGACATGCACCTCGCCGACAAGTGCCACCACCGAAGCACTGAATGTCGGCACTGTCACAAGCGAGGACACCTTGAACGTGTATGCAGACGGAAAGCTCATCAGGACACATGTCACCATGTGGATGCTGACGCAGATTCAACCCCAGATTCAGCTACCTACTCCTACTCCTACTCCTACTCAGATGATGACGGGGAGAATGTTCCTGTTGTACCCATGTATGTGATACGGGGTGATAATTGTCGAGTTCCACCATACACAGTAAATGCAGAAGTGAATGATGTACCATATCAGATCCGAATGGAGGTTGACACAGGAAGTGGCATTTCCTTACTGACCAAGAGGGATTTTGAGAAATTGGGTGTCCCCACTACGTCCCTCTCTGCACCTGGAATTCGTCTGAAGGGTTTCTCGGGTTCTGAAATTCCGTGCTTGGGAGAAACAGAATTTAAGGTTACTGTAAATGGGCAAACTAAGAATGTGGTGTTATGTGTAGTGGATGCAAATGGGCCTTCATTACTCGGAAGAGATCTATTGGCTGTTTTCAAACTGCAATGGAATGAAATTTTCTCAGTCAAAATGGAAATTGACAACGCGAAAGAGCTCAGTTCAGGGAGGAAATCATTACTGCTTTCCCTGAACTTTTCGATACTTCAAGTCTTGGTAAATTAAATACCACTCAAGTCTCGCTCAATGCTGATAATGCCAGACCGGTCTTTATGAAGTCTCGGTCAGTACCATTTGCTATTACTGAAAAGTATAATGTGGCTTTGGAAAGATTGGAGAAATCTGGAATCATTCGCAAAGTTGACCACTCACGATGGGCATCTCCCACAGTGCCAGTCCTTAAGCCAGATGGGAGCGTGCAGATATGTGCGGATTATCCACGCACTGTAAATGCCAATTCGGAAGAAGAGAAATATCCTCTACCTACATTTGAGGAAATGCGTGCAAAGCTGTCTGGTGGAGAGAAGTTCACTAAAATTGATCTGTCACAAGCGTACCACCAGCTTGAATTGGATGAAAATTCTCGTGCATAAATTCTTGTGCATCACACTGAGAGTTGGACTACAAAGGAAAGATATTTATGGTACCATAAATGACATACATGTACCTTTCTCATCTGCATTTCTCCAATCTACACTTGCTTTCAAACTGCTTGCTGCTCATGTAATCATGCCTTCAATAGTGCTAGCTTTAGAATATCAGTGTTTCTTGTATACTAGTTTTAGATCTAATAATAGAGAGGTTCTGCAAAACGAAAATTAGAACGAAGTGTCGCGACAGGCTTTGCGAAAATGTGTACGAATTTTCGCATGAACTTTGTGTTCTGCACATTTTCGTAGTTTGCACGTGTCAAATGCACGTATGCCATGACCCAATCTCACAAGAAACTTCCCACGAAAGTTCATTTCGCGTGCAAGTTTCGCGTCCAAAGTTGCGTGAGAAGTTGTTCACTTCATGACGTAGAGCGAAAGTTTGTGCACATTTTCGTTTCGCAGAACCTCTCTAATGTTCGCTTCATGGTACCATAAATATCTCTCCTTTGTAGTCTAACTCTCAGTGAGATGACGATTTCTGATGATTATCACATGAAAACGACGTTCAAATCCTTTAATGTAAAAAGAGAGGAAACACATGAGAACGAGTTATGCAGCAACTATCCACGGCTGTAATAAGACGATAAACGGTCAGAAAGTGCGATAATAGGGCAAAACACTGACAGGCTACTGAGACATTCAGCGACCCGAGACCTAGCTCTAACACATCTCCAGTGTGCAAACCAACAGCCTTCCAACTTGGAAGGTTCATGGTTACGTAGTCGTGGATAGTTACTGCATAACTCGTTCTCATGTGTTTCCTCTCTTTTTTACATTTATTACTGGCTCAGTATCCAAGTTTAAAACTTTAAATCCTTCAATATTGGTCCATTGTTGTCGTGGTATGAGTGCGCTCACTATATTTCATTCAATATTAGGTTTCTTGTCTCCAAGCTGACTTAAAAAAAACAAAGAAGAAATACACGTGTGAGCTCCATTGCATGTGAGACAAGAGGTCGCAAGTGCGATGAGATGACAACATCGAACTCACCGTTGAGGCATCATAGGCTTGGTATGTGGGTGGCTTGATAATCTCATAGATGACACTGCTAAGGAACAGTATTACCATGAGAATCGGGGACAGGAACCTCCAGCAAAAGCGCCAGTAACGTGAAGGTCTCAACCCATTGATCGCCTCCACATCATCCGAAAATCTACGCATGAACACATCAACATGCAGGCGCGTACGCAGGGTCACCTCTAGGGAGGTTTCCAACCGAATCACTTTAAAAACCCTTTTAAAAGAGGCCTGGGAAATTTTCAAAATTATGCATTTATGATTTTTCCGTGTTCCTTGGATTATAACTTCAGTTCTACTCACTCAGTCTTCATCTTGGGCTTCCTGGAAGTGGAAAGGTATCCGGGAGAGGAAGAAAATGAGGTCGACCATGATAGCCAGGACACTGTACATGTATATCCAGCGCTAGAGTGCAGCCAGAGTGCGAAAAATGCCCCAAAGCCCCAAACGCGTCCTGCTCCAGCGATTTTGTTTTTCTCGATCGCAGAGTTTCGATTGTTTTGCTGTGTACTCTTGAGAATATCACAAGTGAAGCCCCTGGAAATTTGAGCAAGTCAAAGTGACGAAAAGTCTCAAATTCGCGATACTCAAGTCGCACTGCGCGCTTGGAAATCGACGAGATCGTGGCTCAACTTACGAATGATATATCTCAGGAAAAATTGCTCGCATGTTTGAAACATTTGGGGGTTTCCGGGCAACGGAACCAACTTCTACACGCGATGAAAAATTATTTTACTCAAAATGTCCAGAAATGTACAATGTCCAGAAATTGCAATTCCTCTCGTACTGTAGCTCAGTTGGTTAGAGCATTGCTCGCGAATAGCAAGGTCCCTGGTTCAAGTCCCGGTGGTGTGACTGATGGTTTTTTCTTTCTTTCGTATCTGGCTTCCAAGTGTTGAGTTACGGAGAGAAAATAGCAGTACGAGGCATGTAGCCTCTAATTTCGTAATATTTTGAAATTCTCCGTGAAGTCCAAATTTGAAATTACAAGACTTTAGTGGTTCCTTTGCTGAAAATTCCGCACTTTTTCAAAAGAAACGATAGAAAGCCATGAAAGATAAAGAGAGGTATGGACCTGCACGAGAGTTCTGTATGGATATCCTGCGTGCTTTCAAACAAAGAAACCCTCCCAAAAGTTTCAACGACTATCTTTGTTGAGCAATATGTGTAGATTTTATTTGTAGAAAGGCATCACCAGGCACCCCTCCCCGACAGTGATAACCAGGCAGGGATTTCAACTAGTCTCTGATCAGGCAGGACCAGATTTGGATTAAGGTTTACTGCACAAAGCTAACTATATCCCAGGAACAAAGATCCACCCAGGGATAAAACATATCAACTTTGAGCGAAATCGGAAATTTGGTCCGATGATGTTTGGTCGTTACAGACATGGACTCTTTGGGAAATGCATCGATTGTTCAAGTAGGGTCCAGAAGAAAGACAATTTGATACCGGTTCGAATGGCATAATAATTATAAAATTATCTCGCTTGCATATGATAAACCAAACTTGCCAAATCGCCTATTATATGATCCATGTCGCCATAGCGACCAGCACAGTGATGACGCACGTTCTGCTTAGCTCTGCGAGAGAGAAGGTCGATCACTACAGACTTTTGTTATTTTCACGATGTGAAAGAAGTGCTGTGTTCAATGCTGCTAGTGCCGTGAACTGTCGCATTCAGTCTTTCGTGAGAAATACGACGAAAAAGTAGAGCGACTCTGGTCAGGGTGAGGCAGAAGGATCTAGGGAGAAAGTCGTGCTTATGACTGAGGATATCTTTGAAGGACGAAGGTATGACTATGTCACACATTTTATATTGTTCATTTCCGCCTGGCATGGTCACCTCGACGTTCATGATAGATGCTCACCCATCACTGCTCGTGGAGGTGTCCTTGTCAGCCACGTAAGCTTTTATTCTTGGACATCGACGATTCTTCAATTCTCTGGGTGTGTTAGGATCGTGGTGTTGAGATTACTAGTTGAAGGGTTGTGTCGTGTCGTTGTCTTCATGTGCTCATTATCCATCCATGTTTTTTTATTCGTAATTTTTTCGTTGTCCGAATCTGTCTTGTGTTGGTACCAGTGGTGGCATCGTGACAGTACTGCAGGGTTGAGTGTGTGAGGACTCCATCTTTGAAAATACAGCCGGGCTGTACATATTGGCTGTATATTTGACATTAGTTTATACTTACTGTATGTATATTCCATAAAATTCACAAAGCACAATCCAATTTCCACAGTGATTTTATATTTTTCACTCCGTTATCACTGCGATAACTCCTAGTTTATACTATTGAACAATGAATCTCATTCTGTGAACTATGTGTTCACAGACTTATTCACGGAATACATGTTCCATTTTCAAATCATGGTGCAGAACACATACGAATCTGTACTATATTTCTGCAATTGTGAAAGACACTAAATTGTAGTAATGTCCGAAGTATAGTAAGATAGCACAATTATCAATGGTGCATATGTGTCATACTTGTGGCCTGTATAGACTAGACTCAAACATCTGAGAAAGACACACTTCAACAGAAAACAGAACAGCTTTTTCTTACTGAAAATGGTAAAATTTCATGTATCGACGCCCCTAAAAAAACAAGTCATACTGCCCCAAACATATCGGTGACACCCCCCCCCCCCCCCCCCATTTTTTAGACAGTCAGCATAAGCACTACCCAAGGAACAAATTCCCAAGTTTATAGAAACTTTCCATGTTATTTTTTAATTTTTGGAGTTCGTCGTTGTTATCCGTTGTTGCCCAACAGTAAAATGAACACGATATTGGAATGTTTCTGCCTGTGCAGTATGTATAATAGATATTTGTCTTAATACTCCAGCCGGGGTGGGCAGTCAGTGCATGTTGAACGTGATTGTTTACTACAGTATCATATCAGAGTTGAGAGTTTCCAGTACTGTACATACCTGCTTGCTCCATAGATGTAGGACACAGCAAAGCACTCACAGAAGCCAATCAACAGCAACGGCAGGCTGCCCGCAAACTGGTCAAACAGCTCAACGACATACGAGCCACCTTGTGTCACCATGGAGATACCGACCAAGAACGAGACGGCACAGACCAAAGCTGCACAAAACAATACAAACGCACACCGGACATGTGCACGTTCAGAAACCAGTAAATCAAAACCGTTATGTGAAATGCAGTAGGCGAGTGTGAGGCAGTTAGTGGACCACACAGCCCTGTGATATACCAGCAGCTAAACCACCAGCATGTACAGTGTGCACAAAGAACAGCAACATACAGTAAACCTCGTGAATAACGACCTCAAATGTAACTGGTACTAACTTAGATATAACACCAACTCACCAATAACGACACTATCTTCACACCAAGTAACCACTTTACTGCATATTTTTGAAAGCTTTAACCTTCCGAATAACGACAACTCGCGAATAACAATACTTTTCTCTGAAATTCTCTTATGCCCAATCGATGGTCATTATTTGCGATGTCGACTGTACTTTCAGGTTTTTACAGTGCCGTTTCTATGGTTGTAGCCAATGAGCGACGTTCCCGCGGTGGCCTTGATGAGCCGATAAAGGCCCGCACGCTGTCAGCCTAGCTCTACAGTGCAGGGGTCTGCGTCAGTTTTCCGTTGCCATCTCACTTCTCAGTTCATCTCAGGACCTTGGCTTTGGAGGAGAGTAGATGTAGACTAGAGAAGTACATGGTTGAAACCGGGTCTACATGTAGATTGGGCATGCCTGTAGACATGACCTCATGCTCAGTTCTGTTCATTGATGGAATATACATACAAGTACTATGATGTAAGGTAGCAAAGGTGGCTACATGTAGTAAGCAATCCAGTATTCTAGCATGGGCCATGGGAAAAAAGTTCTTCACAAGCTAATGGCGGTAAATGTTGACAACAGGTTTGTACGCGTGTTAGTAAAGGAGTGACAAAACTAAACAGCTACAACCTGGAAACAATTCAAAACATTCTTCTTCTTCTTCTTCTTCTTCTTCTTCTTCTTCTTCTTCTTCTTCTTCTTCTTCTTCTTCTTCTTCTTCTTCTTCTTCTTCTTCTTCTTCTTCTTCTTCTTCTTCTTCTTCTTCTTCTTCTTCTTCTTCTTCTTCTTCTATCCAACTGTGACGGCAAGATTTTCTTCGCCATGTTGTCAAAAATTCTGACTCGCCACATGCTGACGAATGGGTATTTTGACGGCATGACCCAGAAAGGTTTCTTGCCGGGTATGTCCGGTTGTATTGAACACGCCACTCTTTGTCACGAGGCCATGAAAGACGCCAAACGCCACAAGCGTTCGATTGCCATGGTATGGATCGATTTAAAGAACGCCTTTGGCTCAGTAAAACACAACCTGATCCAGAGGGCACTGCAACGCTACCACATCCCGCTGAAAATCAGGAACCTTGTTTACTCTTACTATGAGCGTCTGACAGCATTCATTAAAAGACCACTCACTCAGACCTTCCGGTACAGCATCGGCGTATTTCAAGGTTGCCCACTTTCCCCTATTCTATTCAACATCTGTTTCCAAATTCTACTTGATTCTCTTCAGACCAAACCGATCCAAGCCCTTTCGTACAGTTTCCGTGACACAACTGTCACTGCTTCGAACACTGGATTCGCCGACGATTTAGCAGTCTTCAGCAATCGAACTCATGGTGCGCAGAAGAAGTTAGATCTGGTTGATAGTTTCCTTGCCTGGTCAAAAATGCAGGCGGCCCCGCACAAATGCAGGTCGTACGCAGCCAAATTGACCAACAACAAATACACCTGCTTTGACCCCGCACTCAGAATATCGGAAACTCCAATACCAGCTCTAAACGGCCAACAATTCAAGTTTCTAGGCAGGATGCTAACAGATACAGTAGGTGAGATAACGCAACGCGAAGACCTCATAAACTCCACAAGATGCCTACTAAAGACAGTTGCCGAGACCAGACTATACGGACACCAGAAGTTGTGGCTCTACCAGCATCAAATCATCCCCAAAATAGCATGGCAGCTCGAGATACTTGATCTCAGCCACAGTTTCGCCAAACTCCTACACAGAATTTGCCTTCCATTCTTAAAGAAATGGGCAGGCTTGCCCAGACCCGCAGCACCAGCAATACTCTTCATCGGCGCTCGGGAGCGCTTCGGCCTACGTTTAACGTACATCCCTACGCTATGGAAGCAACGACAGGTCATTAGATGGAATATCATCAAGAACAGCAGCGACAAGAACATGGCAAACCTGTACCAACATCACAGCAAACAACAGTATCTGCTCACAAGACAATACTCCGCAATAAAAGAAATGGAATGTGCCGAGGCAGCGATCTCTGAAGCTAGTCCAACTAACCTCCAGCAAGGCAGGGCAGGACTCGGCTTTAGGCATGACAAACAAGAGAAAATCAAACCTAGAAAACAAATACTCAATACCATTCATGAAGGTGACTGCCAAGACCAGCTATCCCACCTCAAAAGCCTGCAAATGCAAGGCAGCTGGTTAAAGTGGAGAGACACGATGTTTGAAGACCTCACTTGGAAAAAACTGTTGTACGAAGGCTACGGGAGAACTTTCTCCTTTCAACTAAACTGTGTATTAAACACACTACCAACAGTTGACAATCTGAGGAGGTGGGGTAACTCTGTGGTCGAACAACAATGCCCTCTATGCAACAGGCAAGCTACGCTCCGTCACATATTATCAGCATGTCCAACAGCCCTCCACCAGGGCAGATATACCTGGCGCCACGACAACGTACTGAAATGCATAGTAAAACTAGTAAACGAAACCATCCAAACTTATCAAAAGGCCACGGCATCAGCAGAAACGCAGAGTAATCAGAAGAGAATTGATTACATAACTTTCTGCAAGGCAGGAGAGAATCTCCCCAAACAGCCCCCCTCCCAACGCAAACGGCTAAATGACCAATTCGTAACTAGCTCAGCAGACTGGCAGGTCCTGGTGGACATGAAGGATGAGAAACTTGTTTTCCCCCACTTCATAGCACCTACAACCTGTCGTCCAGACATAGTGCTCTTCTCCAAAGAATTGAGAAGAGTTCTGTGGCTGGAACTCACGGTATGTAGTGAAGATCGCTTTGCACAATCGCGCGAAATCAAAATCGAACGCTATCGTCACCTTCATAACGCGTGTGTAAGGAATGGCTGGGAGACGGAAAGTCACACAGCAGAGGTGGGAGCGAGAGGCGCCATATCCACCAGCTTGGATTCCTTCGCGAGATCCTTGCGCTGCACTAAGGAACAGCGCAGGCTCTTGCGGAGGAATTGTCGCCAAGCAGCGCTGAACTCAAGCTATGTCCTATGGCTAAGGCGAAGGGAGCGAACATGGCGCGACTGGCCGTTGTATTAAAACTGTTTGGTGAACCTGTTGTAGAGCACTTGGTGGGCGATCGGCCACCCAGCGAGGATAGTTGGACGTCCTTAAAATCAAGATTTGAACTCGCCATTCCGGCCTCTAAAGGGCCGGGGGTGGACGATCGCCAACCTTGCCAACCTCTCGTAGTCACTTGTTCTTGTCGAATCGTTATTTTCATAGCCTACTCGACATTCGCCCTACAAATTACCATACATCACAACGCAACTACCTGTACATGACACACCATACCATACGGACACAACCACACCCCAACTGTACTGGGGGCCTATCTCTTCGAATTGCATTATATGAGTTTCTTTTTCCTTTTTTCTTTACCCGTTACTGTCTAAAAAGCAGTCGAAACGGTTTTTATCCACCATTTGATGGTGAGCATTTCCCTTCTGTGAAGAGTTCAGAGAAGAGTTCTGTGGCTGGAACTCACGGTATGTAGTGAAGATCGCTTTGCACAATCGCGCGAAATCAAAATCGAACGCTATCGTCACCTTCATAGCGCGTGTGTAAGGAATGGCTGGGATACGGAAAGTCACACAGCAGAGGTGGGAGCGAGAGGCGCCATATCCACCAGCTTGGATTCCTTCGCGAGATCCTTGCGCTGCACTAAGGAACAGCGCAGGCTCTTGCGGAGGAATTGTCGCCAAGCAGCGCTGAACTCAAGCTATGTCCTATGGCTAAGGCGAAGGGAGCGAACATGGCGCGACTGGCCGTTGTATTAAAACTGTTTGGTGAACCTGTTGTAGAGCACTTGGTGGGCGATCGGCCACCCAGCGAGGATAGTTGGACGTCCTTAAAATCAAGATTTGAACTCGCCATTCCGGCCTCTAAAGGGCCGGGGGTGGACGATCGCCAACCTTGCCAACCTCTCGTAGTCACTTGTTCTTGTCGAATCGTTATTTTCATAGCCTACTCGACATTCGCCCTACAAATTACCATACATCACAACGCAACTACCTGTACATGACACACCATACCATACGGACACAACCACACCCCAACTGTACTGGGGGCCTATCTCTTCGAATTGCATTATATGAGTTTCTTTTTCCTTTTTTCTTTACCCGTTACTGTCTAAAAAGCAGTCGAAACGGTTTTTATCCACCATTTGATGGTGAGCATTTCCCTTCTTCTTCTTCTTCTTCTTCTTCTTCTTCTTCTTCTTCTTCTTCTTCGCATGCCAGTAAAGGAGTGACAAAACTAAACAGCTACAACCTGGAAACAATTCGAAACATTCTTCTTCTTCAAGGCCAAGGGAAAAATGGCAAGAGATCTGGCCACCACGTCCCCGACCTCCACCCCTAGGTGGTATCGCGCTTATATACAGTCTACGAGTACGAGCATGAAAGGACGACTTAACCTGAGGAGTAAATAATTGGAAAAAAATGGCAAGAGATGCGGCCACCACGTCCCCGACCTCCACCCCTAGGTGGTGTCACGCTTATATCCAGTTTACGCAAGTGTAAACCTGACCATGAATCAAGGCCAAGGGCGCAGGCCAAGGCGCGTAGCGCCGAGGCCTGCGCCTGCGGCCGTACGCATGAGCTTTGGCAATTCTGCAACTACTTCTTCTTGGGCAAAGAAAAAAAGCGATAGATCCAGCCACCACGGCCCCGACCTCCACCCCTAGGTGGTATCGCGCTTATATACAGTTTCAAAGAATGCCAGTGAAAACATGACCATGACTCCGATGAGCGTACGGCCAGGCAGGCCCAAGGCCCGGGCGCTGGCCAAGGCCCGGGCGCTGGCCAAGGCGCGTAGCACAGTAGATCTACGCACGAGGCCTTCATGTACTGATGTAAGCGAAAATTGATAAGATCATCGCGTGTCAGCAAAGGAGTGATAGTGTAGCCACCACGTCCCCGACCAACCTACTTGTTCTTGAGCATTGAGCAAAGAAAAAAGGCAACAGGTCTAGCCACCACGTCCCCGACCTCCACCCCTATGTCAGTATGTGGTATCGCGCTTATATACCATCTACGCGGCTCAAAGGATGTAAGTGGAAACCTGAAACACGATCATAGAGTTCTGGCAGGACTTTCCGCCTTCATCAAGGCCTCGTGCGCACGGCCGCGGGCCTCGGCGCTACGCGCCTTGGCCTGCGCCCTTGGCCGTCTGCACTCGGCCTTGATTCAGCCATAAAGTCCTGCCAGAACTTTATGATTGTCTACATCTATGCCAAAATACACGTACCAGTACTAACACAAAAAGCAGAGAAGCCACTAGTCAGTCCGATGAGGCCTTTTGCACCCTTGCTCTTTCTTAAGCAGCACATTGGTGATATGACCAGATGACTGGCTCGTTATATTCAGTTAAAAAAAGAAAGAAAAAGACTCTAAATCCCGTCAACAGTCGGATGATGTGCCTATTAGACCTCTATAAGCAGTCGGATTCCCAGTGCGCGGTATAAGTCCTACAAACACCTAGATTAGATAATACACCAATCCCGAAAAGGTTATCTGGGTTCGAAAGGGTGTTTGTCAGTGGGGGGGGGGGGAGGGGCAAGAGGGCAATAGTGTCTGCTCTAGGATTTCAAACCAACTGGGTACACGTGTACCTGGCACAACTCTTGCAACCGGGTCAGAGCCGGGTACATTCTAGTGCAACTACTGCATATACCGGTATGTACACCAGGGAGCCGTAAATATTTTAGGACTCTCTGAGATTAAGTACTCCCAACCGAGTCACAAGTGACCCGGTGTTCTTTTTCCAAACAGGTCCAAATACCCCCAACCGGGTCGCTGACCCGGCTGAGCAGGCTCTGGAGTAGACACTGGGTAACTGAGAGTTAATTAATGTTCTGCTGTTGGAGTCCAAATGCCAAGCCATAATCATTGCTTTGCCTCCGTGTAGCGTCAGAAAGTCAATGGATGAGTAGGGCTCACTTCAAAAAGTAGGCAAGGCTGTGAGCGCAGGGATTCAAAGCGAAATGCCCACACTAACTGCCGGTAGTTCATGTAATCACTTGCTGCGAGAGGGTCGTATTCGATGGTCATCGATGATGCTCTACTGTCCTGTGAGCAGGAGACTACAGCAAGTCGGGCATACTGTAAGAGTTGAATCTCTAACGGGGCACAAGTTTATCGATGGAACGAGAAAAATCCACCGGTAACTTAGGAACGCTACCTAAAATTGCTCCTTCTCTCCTCCGTACTAGAACAGGTGTCTGATGGCAGGGGTCGTTACATTTGTGCCCACAAAGTGGTTTTTATTGAAAAATCGTTAAACTTTAGACTTGTTACACTTTTAAATCTTACAGTACTTGAATCAGTTGAATGTCTTGATGCAGAAGTAAATATTGAGAATTTGAAATCGTGGCTGTTGCGGTAAGCCGGTGCAACAAATGTAGCTTGTATTCGTACCTCTGTGAGCGAAACTTGCCGAAAGACTCTTACTACAACGCAGCCCACTGGTGTTGTAGCCGTTTTTTCGTAAGTGCGTCCGTTGATACACAGTTCAAACTATCCTGCTCATTCCATGACTTGTGGATGGAGCATGTGCGTGATCTTTTTAAAAATTCGACTCCCTACTGGACTTCCAACTGCCTATAGGACATCAACTACCTACTGCGTCAAACATACATGTATATTCAGTGCGACCTGAACTAGAAGCACTTTTCCAGTTGTCTAGCAGTAGTAGGGAGGTTTAGTCCCACGTAATCCGTGTGTACTTTACGTGTGTGTACCACGTGATATTCAGTGACCCACGTACAGCCGTTTTCTGATTCGTGACATACCGTGTATGGAGACTCACCTTCGTTCCGCCAGAACGTGAATGAAAATCAGAATGGAACGCATTGTGCAAGCTGTGAGGGTGCTCAGCTAAAGAAGTTTTCGAAGCACGAAATCAAAATATTGGATCAGCTTCGAAGCTTCGTCTTTGGCTAAGTTTGGGCCTTTCGCTTCATGTCTTTGTGTTTGTTTGTGTGACTAAATACAAGAGTGCGAACGTGGGTCCATTGCATGAACTTTCCGTGTATCACCTACGTCCCCGTATCCGTTACGTGGGCTACTGTAAACCTCCCGACTATCAACAGTACATCACCCAGAGTGTGTAGCTCACTATGATTTCACAACCCAAATATTCAACATACCAACGTGAACCTCGCGCCTCCACTTGTTGAATGGATAGACGTCAGCCATGCATGCCAGGACGCATTCCAATGTGCCAAACATGCTTCCAATGCCCAAGCACAGGAGCATGAGAAAGAAGAAGATGGACCACATGACGCTGGGAACAAGTAGTGTGAGACCTTCACTGAAAGCGATGAATGCCAAACCAGGTCCACTGCCAACCTGAACAACAAAACATTTATAGAAAAAGACAAGGATTTATAACAGCAGCATATACACGTGGACCAAAGACTTTAGCTGTATCCAGTGCCCATCACCGAAAACAACGACAACAAGCATTTGCCAGGCATAGCAACACCCCCACTCGACCTATCCCAGTGTTGCCACATCATTATAGCCAAATATCAGGAGGATGAAAAAAATAAAAATGCATTATCCGCCCCCCCCCCCCCCCCCTCCCTTCAGGGTAATCCCAATACAAACACACACGCGCACTCGGAACTGTTAAGAAAACCTTTCACGGCTTTCCGTGAGACTCAGGCTGAGTTTTCTGTATTCCCCAGACAGCTGATGATTCGCTAAGCACCTTAGGAATGAGCTATGGAAACACTCGTGATAAGCAGTAAAAGCCAAAATCTGGATCATTTTTCTTCTTCTTTTTTTCCTGAATATCACAGAACCATCAGATGCTGTACAGCGGGGGCGGTGGCATATTGGATGGAAGTGGGGACTTCAAAACCAAGAACAAGGTCAAACTTGGACACTTTCATGGCTGTTGTCGGCAGGAGAAGGTCAATTGTCGGCAGGTCATGACAGGCCTCAAAAATCAGCAGGCTACTGACATGTCGGCAGGTGTGGCAACCCAGCTATCCACACACGCACGCACACATACCACTACTACCACTACTCACCTCACTGAGTTTGATTCCATTCTTCACGGACAGATGACCTAGGATCGAAAAGATGACGATGGCACCAAATATGGACGTTCCACTGTTGATCAGTGTGATGATAAGAGTGTCCTTCAGTGTGTTATTATCTTTTTTGTTGTAGCTAGAGTACGCAACCAGGCCACCAAAACCAAGTCCCAACGAATAAAAGATCTGCGTAGCAGCTATTCGCCACACATCGGGATCATATAGCTTATCCCACTGCAAAGTTACGACAACACAAACATGAACACACACACACACACACACACACACACACACACACACACCCACACACACACACCCACACCCATACCCACACACCCACACCCACACCCACACACAAACACACAATGAAGGCCAGTCGGGAAGCCTGAACGAGGGCTCAAGGCACCGGAGTGCACAGCAATGTACACGTACACAAGAGATGAGAAGCGATTTGGCTGTAACTCGAAGTTTCACGCTCTAGGCTGTGTGTTAGTGAATCATCAGACAGCTGGAAAGCATGATAACAGCGAGCAAATATATCGTATCACGTCTCAATGCTTGATCAGTTTCAATGCACAACTGCAACAGGGGCGCAGCTTGGGTCCATGTGGCTCCTGATCTATCGCACACTATGAAACTTCGTTATGCGCCATCTCTGAAATGTAGCATTGGGCTTCACAAAGCTCAACTACAACTACATGTACATTGTATACATAAGTACTACTTACATCGGGTTGGAACAAGTACTTAATGCCATGTCCGGCACCCTCTAGGAAAACTCCACGGAAGAAGAGGATCAGCAGAATCACATACGGATACAGGGTGGTGAAGTAAACAATCTACATTCCAACAGAATAAGATTTAGAACAGGGCAGCAAGAGAGAGACAGAGAGAGAGAGATAAAAAAATCAAATACAGACAGACAGGTATAAATTGTTATCATTATGCCCAGCTAAATACAGTGAAACCCCGACATAGCATTCTCCACTGGGAAAGGGGAAAACATTAATTTAGTATCAGGGGTACTTTGTAGGCAGGGATAAATACGAGTTCCTCTTCTTCTTGCAGACATTTCTCATAGACAACAAATCAGAGGCATGAGGTTGCTAGAGTGGGGCCAGTGTTGCCATGAGGCTGCTAGAGTGGGATCAGTTTTGTCAGGACATTGCTTGTAGCGTAGGGCCAGCCAGTGTTGTCATCATGTAGCTATCACTGCATGCAGTGTGCACATGTACAGTGAACGGTGTGAGTAGTTGTTCAACATGAACTGACCGTACTGACGTACAACACCTATATATGTGTTGGATACTACAGTACCGCTCAAATGAAATCCAATCAAGCGAGTGAATGCCATGTTGGGTAGTGCTGTGCAGCCCTAGACCTGCGAACACTGGGATGTGAACCAGTACGGACGGAGTGCAAACTTGATTCACACGATCGGATTTCATTGAGCAGCACTGTACATAAATAGTGTGCGCTACTACTGGTAATATCAAAGTCATATTCTGCTTTCATAAATCCATGCTTACAACAGACATATTCATATCATGTATTGGACATTTAATAACTGAGACGAGGCCTATACTTCCCACATAGACCGAAGTCGAGGTAAATCTCCTACTCATCACTCCTACAAAGTGTCCCCTACCGCACGCATTCCATATTTTTATTGCTCCGTAGCATGCCCCTTATAATACCCCATTCCATATTTGTATTGTCCATTATCCTCTGCATGTAATAATTGTATTCCCGTATGGCATGACTCCCATGCTCCAACACCCTCCTCCTTGTGCAAGTACCAGGAAATATTAATGTTGGAGACTCGAAGCGGAAGGTTCAAGGATGTGGCTGATTGAGAGATTGATATGTGTATTGCTGTAGATGTTCCAAAAACATTACCCGAAGAGCCACAAACACACGGATAAAGGCTCTCGTCTATATTTGAACCAGATCTAGATTTGCAAATCTGTTCAGGTGAGACACTTGCAGCTGCGCTTGAGTACATGTAGTTCTACTGTACCCTCAAGAGAAAGGGCAGCGAGATCAACAAGAGAGCTAGCTATTCGGCTACCCAGCACCATGTCATCGACCTTGGACGTGATTTTGATATCTACAACTAGCTTTCAGTCATTGCTTACCTTTCCTTGAGCTTTGATGCCCTTAGCCATGGCACAGAACACCACTGTCCATGCAAGGAGCAGTATCAAGCAAAGCTTCCAATTCACACTGCCGGCGTCATTGATGCTGCCGCTTATTTCAAGAGCATCATTGTACCAGAAGTACCTACACACAGAAAAGACAAACACGCGTGAAACAAGTGCTGGCAACATGAAAGAACTATAAGAAAACATACTCTACAAAATTGCCAAATTTTACTTTTACCAGATATAATTCAGTGCTGTGAATATGTCGTAGAACTAGGTTCCTACCTAGCACTGCTCATCATGCTTCTCTGCCCCTCTGTCTCTCTGTCTTTGTTCCTCTCATTGTCGTTGCCGATGTCTCTTTTCTCCCTCTCCCTCTCCCTCTTTCTCTCTCTCTCTCTCTCTCTCTCTCTCTCTCTCTCTCTCTCTCTCTCTCTCTCTCTCCCTGTGTCTGCGTCTGCGTCTGTGTCTCTCTGTGAATTGTGGCCCTGTGATGTTGAAACTCCTGTACTCATTTCAACGCAACACCAGTCACACACTCACTGCAGGACCCCCGGCCAATTCAGGTCGATCAGGAGTAACCACAGTTAGTCGTACAGAGATTTACCTCCAGTCCATAGTGTTGTGCAGAAATGATCAACTGTCAACTGAGAGCGCGTGTTGATCGTTCTGCACGGTGCTATGGAATGGAGACTTAACTCCACTACTTCTTACACGGTTGAGTCTATCAAGTCAATTTCATCGGCTAATTGCAAGTTCATGATGGCAACGCCGACAATCTTCACAGAAGCATCAAAATCAAGCAGTGCATCTGGCATGATATACTACAGAAGCAGGTAGAACAGAGCAGGAGACAATAGGCAGCCCTTCCGGATGCCGCCAGTAGTCGAAACCAGTCACTGACAGTGGAGCTGATCAGTACTGAGGACTTGCCATTATCATACAGTGGTTTAACTAGTGTAACAAGCCAGGATTCGCAGCTATGATACTCAAAGCTGAACAGCAGACGGTAGACCTGTGCATCTTGAATCTGCTGAACAGACACTATTATCTGCGTAACACGCGCAGAAAGGTCTACACACTCGATCATACTTCCACCAAAAAGTGACATGAACAAATTTAAGATAGGAGTTACACACTCTTGGTCATGAATTCTTGGTAAATTCATTGTGTACAACAGTGTTCCTCGACCAGTTCGAATTCCGTCACCCTCACATCATTCAAAGCAAACTGTAATTTAAAAAATTAGCCAACCTCCAAAATATCAACATCACACAGCTCATAACCGCTTCATACCTGCTAGTAGCATTGCGACACAGCTGCGCAGATGTGCCGTTTACATCGGAGCACTTGGACCACGGCAATGTATGCTGAAAGGAGCTAAACAGGTAAAAGAACGACCAGACAATGATGACATTGTAGTAGATGCCGACGAGGAAGGATGTCGTGACAGCTGCCCAGCCAATGCCTGCCAGAGTGGGGTGGATGGCCGACCAGGAGCCAATAACACCCTTGCGCATCAATTGGCCGACACACATCTCCAGGTAGAAGAGTGGCATTCCCTCAATCACCAACATGATGAGGTATGGGATTAAGAATGTACCTGTAGCACACAGATAATACAAAGCATGTAACAAAAGTTACAAAACCCATGTGCAATAAATTCCACTGATCCAGACTCCGCAGATCCAGGCCCTCCTGTCTACCAGGCACCTGTCTCACCCCTCTATTATAGTCACAAAAATGGCTTTCCACACCAACAACAAAAAAGTGAAAAAACAGTACCAAAATATAAAGAGAAAAGGACCTATAAGTTACTACTTAGGACTAACAGTCCACCAAGGTAACGAGATAATATACTGTCAGATAGTGCGACAACAAGGCACAAAACTGACAAGGATATTGAGACATTTGACGACCTGGCATCTAGTTCCAACTCATCTGCGAATCGCAAACCAAACCTAGGTGCCAGGTCGACGAATGTCTCAATATCCTTGTCAGTTTTGTGCCTTGTTGTCGCACTATCTGACGGTATATTATCTCGTTACCTTGGTGGACTGTTAGTCATAACTAGTGACTTATAGGTCCTTTTCTCTTTACATATGTTTTGGCTCAACATCCGAGTTTTTCAAAAATATAAAAATATTGATTGGCATAAAGCCGTTGCTTGCACGAAATCGGTATGTATGTTCCGAGTTGCAACCAATTCCTACTTACGGGCAGTGCCCGGTCCCAATGTGCCCAGATAGGGAGAGTTCTACTGTACAGCCACTGGGCATGAGTTACTGTAAGACATGTATATATAACGAGGAAGCAAATCTAACGTTTTAACGGATGACATTTCTTCGTTATAATAAGATCCGTTGAAGCCGTACTGCTTCATATATGCTGTGTGTGGATATGGCAGAATACTGCAAGATCGTTAACATATCTTCTCGTTAACCTATGAATTTTGGACAATCGTTAAATTTGCGACTCGTTATAATAACATGTCTTACAGTACCTGAAAGTCAGAGTTAGGCCATGGTAAAAATTATCTTTGATTCTCAAGTACGCGCGCACCGATTTTTGGCGGCGCACCGATTATTTTTTTTATTTCTATGCATGCATATGCGCACATAAAAACGGTCCATGCGAAAGGCGTGAATCAGGGAGTAGTAAAATACCGGTATTTTTCTACTCCCTGGCATGAATAATAAAATAATTATACTAACCTGTGACGTTCATATGTGTGACCCTATCTTTGGGAATAAAAAAATGTGGGAAATAAAATAAAAAATCGCTCGCTCGCACCGATTTTCACAGGCTCATGACCTGAGAATCAAATTTATTTTTTACCATGGCCTTACCTAAAAGTCACTCATCCAAACACACCAATCAACCGAACCATGGCCATGCGGAAAATTGTAGCAATCAGCTGCATATGCTTCGCGATAGATCACATTCCGCCTCTTCCCTAAAATACATGTACAATGCAAACTTCATGCTCCAGCACACTTAGCATAGTTTTGCTGTAGTGAAGATCGTGGTGATATGCCAGCAAAAACTGTGTAAATGCACATTAGGTAGCGCAAGGCTATTGAAGAACTAGCTTCAAGTATCTGAATTATTCACTTATCCAAACAGGAGCTGGTCCCAAGGCATTTGGTGTTGTTCAGAAAACCAAAACCCGCCTGAACTCATACTGGTACTCGTTTAATAGTAGAAACAAAGTTCTGTTAGACTTTGTGGTTTTCAAACTACCGCCGTACCCTCACACATACGCTATATAAGGGCATGTTCTTATGCACGAATGCAATTCAAATGTCACAAAGTGTGCATGGCCCATGCTCGTACCTCACACACATACGTGTGTGTGTGTGTGTGTATGTGTGTATGTATGTGTATGCGTGTGTGTATGCGTGTGTGTGTGTGTGTTTGTGTGTGTGTCCTTATCAATTCGCTCCTTTGGTGAGCTGACACACTGGTACGGCAGCTATGCAGGTGGCCCAAGACGTCATGTGTGCAGTGTATCTTCAGTGTTTCATGAGAAAGGCAGTAGCAGAAGTGCGCGTCCGAGCAAAAATGCCTTTGCTAGATAGTTGCAACAATAGTTATGATACTTCCATTCCGAACAGGCTCTCAGCTGCACAAAATAAATGAGTGCAGTGGCCTGCCAATATTTCGCCCATTGGGCATCATCAGGGCATTGATGATGCCCAATGCCAGAAGTTCGCAGCTTAGAGGGCACTGTGTGGGCAGGCGTGCTGTATTCACCACCATTTTGCCAGGTGTGTTTTAACCAATTCTCTATCATGAGGATCGCTCGAGCCTGGTGCAGGTGACTACTGTACTCGCTTTCTCTAGCAACAACGCACACGTGGCCATACGTGCACCTACAATCATTCCAAGACGTGAACACGTGTAGCTGCGTGCTCAGTAGTGGTAAAATGAATACCCAAATCTTCGAATGGGTACACTCTAGGACCAAATGGTAAGTATCTTATAATGAACTCACATATACTAGTAGTGCGAACCATTGCCCATGTTCCCGTTTGCACCTATACAAAACTTGACCCGTTGTAACGAACAGTTTTCATTTATAACAAACCATATCTTGCAAGGCGCATGTAAAACAAGTGCACTCATACAGTCATGGACAACATACCAGTCATGACATGCTGCGTGTATGGTATGGGCACATTGCTGTTATAAAGAGCATCAGCTGTAAGAACTAATTTTCTTGCACAATCGTGTTCGTTATAATCATCAGGAGTCGATCGTGCATGGTAGCAGAAATCCTCAGCTGTCTGCTAGAATTACTCCATGCTCTCTCCGAAAGCGGTCTGACAGAGATTGAGTGCTAAGCGCTCCAACACATGTTCAATTGCCCAACGTGGAGGGAGGGGGTACTCTTCAGTAGGCTACTCTGCTTGAAACAATCGAGGTACTCGAGAGACACTTTCGCTGTTTTTGATCGCCTCATTCAGTGTTCATTTCAGCACTATAGTGCGTTTCAAAAGTATAGATCTCTAGACTTTTTAGAATAATTCGAATTTGGATTGAACGTTTTGAGAAATTTCTTTGGAATATCGGTCCGGCAATTCCCCCAATTTTTCTCATACAGATTTCTAAGTGATTGGATAACAAATGCCCATTTTCGAAAATTTTATGCACAAAGTGATCACAGATTTTATGTGGTATAGATGCTGGCCTAACGTTTTTTTTAAGATGCACTCAACCATGTCAACGTGAACGTGGAGGTGCACATCTGCGTACTAAGGTCGACATAAGAACATGCACAATATGAATCGGCTATACTGTGGCGTCCATAATGATACTGCCTAGTGATACCAGAAAATGCACACAGGCCAACCCTTAAGGCTGTCATCAGACTAAGGTACAAAGCACCGTGTCTACGTCCACGTAAGGAGTTTTGGTCGGTTGTCATGATGATCTATCTACGGGGTAAAACGGGAACAGAGGGGACAGGAAACATAGACGTGGTAGGGAGAGAACGTGAACGTGCGTATCTTCCCCAGTCTTTTTCCAAGCGACCTTGCACTTGCACTTGAATCTTCAAATTTCTCCAAAAACGTGACTGTGTGTACGGGTCAAGAACTGTGCCTGTTTGATGACACAACCACCTGTTTTGGACTTTTTCACCTAGGTGTAGACGTTAACGGGAATCAGAGAACGTAGTGTGATGACGGCCTTTACAGGAGTTCACACCCTGGAACCCCCGTTGGTATAAGGGGAGAATTCAGATCATTGAAGCTTAGCTACTCCATGGGCTTGAGATATCCACTAAGCAGTCACAAGGTGTTTTAATATGTACAACACCATTTTCATTACAGTTGAGCCTTGATCAGTACGTTGGTGCATGTAAATGTGACGTCGCTTCGACAATTGCACACGCAAATTTCAAGTAATCTATTACTGTAAAAGCCATTATTCTAACGAGGCGCATATCTATTATAACGATTTCCCAAAATTGACTAGTTTACGTCTACCAAAGGTAACGATTCTCACTCATTCTCAACGCTCAATAGGACACTATATGTATCGATTTCTGTATAACGATTTCTATTTTAACGACAGATTTCTCCTCGTTAACTCGTTAGAGTTAGCACTTCGTTATAATTATATAATGGCTTTTTTAAGTAGTATTAAAAAATGCCAAATGGTGCATGCTGCTGAGCAGAGATTTGTAAGGTGTCGGTCCTCATTTTCTTTTTTTCAATTTTTAATTACCTCCTCCATTATCTTGCGCAAGGTAAGGGAAACGCCACAGATTTCCGATCCCAACGGCGTAGCTGATGCAGGAGAATAGAAATTCAACTTTGTTCCCCCATTCTTGCTTCTGCGGCGATTCTTCCGTGATCTGCTCCGCATCCTCAACACAATCGTCGCCCATCACTGAGCAACAGGCACTAAGCTATAACGTAACAAGCGACATCAAGTGAAGACGTGGAGTGGGAATTACTATCGTCAAAATAACACCTGGCCCAGCACAGTCAGTCGAAGTCAACCTCAGCTCATAGCTCATGCCGTCATCATGCCTTCATGGTCATGGTTCGTTCAAGCACAGCTTTTACCAGGGAGTAGTACAATACTGTATTACGGTATTACGGTATTGTACTACTCCCTGGCTTTTACTGTCAGCTGAGGGCGTTTTCGCCTTGCACAGCAGCCACAGCTACTGACTGAGCTAGCTCCAGACAGTGTCCAGTCCCGATCGGCCAGGTCGCATGGCCAAGCTAGCCATGGCAAAATGAAGATGACGACGCCGCTTTTCGACTTTTTCTGTTGCCAATTATCATGATTATTTTCGTGCAGAATCACCATTTTTGATCGTCTTCGATTTGGCATGCATGGAAGACTTCCATGGCCATTGTAACTTCCCTTGCTGAGGATAGTTCCTGAACAAAACCTGGACGCCGTTCCCCCCAGATTTCCCCGTCTAGTTGCGGCAGAGCCACCTTCTCGTCATACAGAATTTAGGATTTTTGGATGCCAAAATACTTGTTGGCGTGAAAACCGATAAAGAACAACCGGACACCGCCGTACCGCCCAGACCTCAGGTATGTGTAGTCCATTGTCCTAGGCTGCTCACAAAGCAAAAATTGTCGTGATACTGCCTTGCCCAAAATCATGGCGAGTTTTTCTTTCACACTTGCCTGATTTTAGAACCGCGATCAATAAGGCAAGCTGAATCGATATGTGTGTATTCAGGCGCGTGCTCGGCGATGCACCCCCCCACGTGCACCCCCAAAAAATTTTCAATCTGGGTAATTGCAATTGTAATGTATGCAAATATGCTCTAAAATTCAAGAAAGGTTGCAAACAAATTGCCGGGGGGGGGGGGGGGGGGCTCCCCTCGGCTCCCGTGCACCCCCCTAGTTGGGGGGCCGAGCACGCCCCTGTTATACATGTACTTTATTCACGCAGTGTAAAACGGTGGAGACAATGTGCAATATTAAATTCGCCAATGAACGATGAAAGTAGGAAGAAATACAGGAATCTTCGTTGTACTAAAGGACATTAGACTGTCCCTGCGGGAATTTGCGGAAAAAACTCTCGAAAACTTGCGCAAGAAATTGCGGCAGAAAGTAACAAAAAATGCGACGAAAAGTGCGGAATGATGCAGGAATTCGCGGAATTATTTGCAGAAAATTGCGGATTTGGGCCGAATCACGAAATTATTTGCATCGTATATCTACTCGGGAGTCGTACTAGTAGTATCAGTGATCTAGCCAAAGCCGGCTCAGCAGAATGCCGGCTGGAGGGCGACCTGCCGGCTGAGACAAAAAGGGTAATTTTGGCCGGCTGCAGTCACCCCCATGTAGACTGTAGTGCACTGCACTAGCACTTGAGACAAGTTGAGTCAGAGATGGTGGAGTACAACCCATATCCTAGCATATGTATGTACAGTACAGTACGTAGCACTGGCTACTCAGGCTCAGTGCTAGCTCTTCACTCAAGCTCAAATGCACTTGAGTATGCACTTGAGTACGTCAGTAAAATGTAACAGGTTGGGTCATGGTTCTCTGCTTCTGGTGGTGTACACGGCTGTGCACATTTTCGTAGAGGTTCTGCAAAACGAAAATGTGTACGAACTTTCGCTCTACGTCACGAAGTGAGAAACTTCGCACGAACTTTCGCAACTTTGGACGCGAAACTTGCAGGGAACGCGAAATGAACTTTCGTAGGAAGTTTCGTGAGATTGGGTCATGTCGTACGTGCACTTGGCGCGTGCAAACTACGAAAATGTGCAGAACACAAAGTTCGTGCAAAAATTCGTACACACTTTCGCAAGGCCTGTCGCGAAACTTCGTTCGAACTTTCGTTGTGCAGAACCTCTCTATTTAATGCAAGATTTGTAGTGGTGTGTGTGGGGGGGGGGGGTCTGTGTGGATACGTGACTGACTGATGGCGGGGGTCTGGGGGCGCAGCCCCCAGAACGATGCATTTTAACTAGAACGTTGGCCGGCTGGCATAAAATCCTGGCTAGACCTCTGAGTATACTGTGCAAATAACCTACAGGATCATGGAAAGAACTGCGTGAAAAGTGCAGAAAAATGTGAGATATAGTGCAGAAAACAACAAAAAATGCGGGAAATCGCGGATTTTGCTGAAAATCGTGGGTTTGGACCAAAATCGCGAAATTTGTTGCATCCATGGAATCGCGATTTCCTGGAGGGACAGATTAGAACGAGCACGAGGTCGGTCTCGTTGTCCAGGAAACGACCAATCAATGACATTCCCGCCAAGGGCCTTATTATTACAGTCGAACCTCATTAGGACGAACACTGATAAGGCGAACTTTCCATTAGTACGAACTAGCGAACTTTCGCGAAGACGAACTATTTTCAAGTGTGATTTGAACAAAATCAGTGTGGCCATGTACATGTAGTACGAACTTTCGGTCCACGAGCGTGCGCGTGGGCTGGCTGCCTTTTCTTATTTTTTTCAATAGTCGAGGCCATATTGTACGTACACGGTACAGTGCAAATTGTTTCAAGCGTGTTTTGAACAAAATCAGCGCGTTGTACGAACTTTCGGCACAGCCGTGATTCATTGCACATTGTCATTGTACTTACCTGTTTCTGGCTTATGCTAAGAATAAAATGCTTCCCATGTACCACAGCATGCACCTTCACGTAAATACAATCCATAATAGGGAGGTTCTGCTCTACGTTTTGGGAACGCGACGCAAAGAATCACGCGAACTTTCTTTGCGTTACCGTAACGTAAAGAAATGCTGTTCTGCTCTACGTTTCACCTAGAGAAGTCACGTGGAATGTGTACTGGTAATTTCCCCTTCCATATTTGGCAGTTTTCTGCATGCAGTTGATCGATACCCAGCAAATCCATACGCATTTTCTCTGCGTATGCCACAACGTAGAGAACCTCATCTCCGCGTAGAAATCTGGAGCCAAAACACGCGAAGCCGTAGACTCTAACCCAGACACCTGCTCTCTACGAGATTTCTCTACGTTTCACGTGTAGCAGAACCTCTCTATTATCAAGAGTACATAACCCCCAAGAATTGTGCAACTGCCTGCACAACCTCTATGCAGTGCTGCGACGGCAGAACTTCACATCACGTGACATGGTTCAAAAGGTTACACTGGAAAACAGTGCAAAGTGATCACAAGAGAGTTGTCTGTCCCTCCAGAAACTTGCGGAGACATTTCGGAAATATCGCGGAAAAAGTTGCGAGGTAAAATGCCACAAATTGCGGGGAATATTGCGGATTTTGTCAAATATTGCGGGATTATTGTGGTAAAATTGCGGAAATTGCGGCCGATTTTGGTACTTGTACTGTAGTGGTGTACGATGTACGAGTCGTACAGCATAAATCATGCATGACAAAACAGAACGTGTGCTGCGCTGACTGTGTTCAACTGCCTGACAGGAGCTTGCAAGACAGCTTTCCTCCATCCTCGGACAACACTCGACGCGAGCCTTATTTTGTGACTTGTCAGCCGCTGATTTGCCCAGAAACTTCTCCATTCTGGCGTCGATCTCACAAGTAAACTACTGACGAGCTTCAAGAACTAAACAACATCGAAGAAAGACTCGAATATCGCGGTTGCTTTTCGAAATATCGCGGTGCTTTTCAAGTGCCAAGGACAGTTTTCTACAAGAATCGCGGATTATTTTTCAAATATCGCGGATATCACGGACTTTTGTTCAAATCGCGGAAAACAACGCGGCCACGGAATCGCAAGTTCCTGGAGGGACAGAGTTGTACCCAAAGCTGGGTTTCGTACAACCCTGTATCAATCATGCACAGAGTGCGAATAATGTGTACGGGTTCATCACGTGATGTGAAGTTCTGCCGTCGCAGACCCCATAGCTGGAGTTGCACACTCTTGGGGGTTATCACATATCAGGTGATGGTGTAGCGGGCCGCAGTCTCTCGGAGGCAAAAATACAAGGGTCTCAGTGAACACACTGTAACTGGCAATTGAAATGTACTGGAAACGAAATTAACTGATTGGCAACTAAATTAACTAACTGGCTACTAAATTAACTGACTGGCAACTAAATTAACTGACTGGCAATAAAAGAATCGTGAGCAGCAGCTTTTATGCAAAGGCAGACTCCGTACGCTAATGTACAGGGATACGCTAACGTATGGGGATACAGTACGGGGATATGCTAACGTACGGGAATACAGTAACGTACGGGGATATGCTAACGTACGGGGATACGCTATACGCTACACCTCCCCTCTCAAATACAATCACGTCCTCGTGATTCGAATACTACATGTAGGTGATAGCTGGACATCAACAACTGGCTGCTATTTAGAAAAAAATGGCGGTATGCATGGTCGCGTCGGAATAAACTCGACGATAAGAGATCGGCAGAATGGATGAATTGCATAATATAATACAGGTATGAAGTCGTGAACATTATAGTAGATCGCGAATTACTGAGAGAGCGTCAACCGGAGTATGGCGAATAATATCGGAAATTATAACGTTTGGAATAGACAGAAGAATGAACTGATAAACAAATCATAAAGTAGAAGCACACCAGGTTCACACGATCTCACGGGGTCAAAAGGGGAAAGAACTGTCCTCAAAATAGGACCTGAAAAACCACAGCACTCTTGCTGCACAACGCTGGCACAACCCGCCAGGAACATCGCAGTTCAAAAACCGAACTGAATACACTATAACTATAAGGGGCGTTGTCACACACATTGTCCCACGTTAGCTGGGTAAACCGTGGCTCACCATGATCAGACGCCTACCAAACTAAACTGGATTCACACACTCGCATAAAGGAAGACTGAAGAGAATAGGAAGACTGAAGGAAGACAGGAAAGAAAATGCCATACCTGGAATCAGCGTTAGTAACCACGGCGGCGGCTGGAGCTACGGCGGAGGGCAAGCCAGGTTTTATGTTCATCTTGGTTGAGCCGGTCACTCAGAGCGGCTAGCTCGGCGTCAGACAAATGACCTCCCTCCTCGTTTTGAATCGTGGTCTTCACATTGTCGATAGCATCGCTTTGCGCGACGTAAAGAGTGATGGTCTAGCCAGGAAGAGTGTTGACGAAAATCTGCATCCCACCACGGAGACGAAGTACCAAGTGAAGAGTGGACTCCTGCTGAACGTTGTAGTCACTCAGGGTTCGGCCGTCTGCCAACTGCGTGCCGGCGAAAATCAAACGCTGCTGGTCTTGGGGAATACCCTCCTTGTCTTGGTCAGCAGCCTGCATGTCGTCGTCCTCATCAGCTTCGCCATCACTACCGGTAGTATACATGTAGGTAGCGGGTCGCTTGGAATCGCCATCGGAGTCTCCAGTGTGTGCCGTGCGGAGAGAAGGGTGATCCACGCTAGCACCCTGACTGTGCTGCAGGCTAATAAGCAGGGCCAAGCCCAGGAAGGCAAGAAACATGATTCTCATCTTGATTCGTCGCACGGAGTTGTAGCGGGTTGAGCCATGGGGGTCCGAGAAACGTGTAAAGTAACACAGTTAGGTATAGAATAAAACAAAATGAATTTACCGCTGCCACCAATTTGTAGCGCGTAAAACAGGTGGGGTCGAATCTGACAAAGTTGACTTTAACCACCGCTGCCACCAATTTTGTAGCGGGCCGCAGTCTCTCGGAGGCAAAAATACAAGGGTCTCAGTGAACACACTGTAACTGGCAATTGAAATGTACTGGAAACGAAATTAACTGATTGGCAACTAAATTAACTAACTGGCTACTAAATTAACTGACTGGCAACTAAATTAACTGACTGGCAATAAAAGAATCGTGAGCAGCAGCTTTTATGCAAAGGCAGACTCCGTACGCTAATGTACGGGGATACGCTAACGTATGGGGATACAGTACGGGGATATGCTAACGTACGGGAATACAGTAACGTACGGGGATATGCTAATGTACGGGGATACGCTATACGCTACAATGGTTTCCATGGATTGAACCAATCAGAGGCCTTCGTAGGCGGGTGATATTGGCCGATATCACCCCGTCTAGCCCATATCACCCCTGCTGTGTACACCGTACGCATATACTCGAAAGCGTACTATAAATGCACTCCATATTTAGCACTTGATTGTTCCTGCTAGGCCCTACGCTACAGGCCCTACTGCCGCGCCTATCTCCCCCCCCCCCCCTCCTCCTCCCTTTGGCCTTGCTGGCGAAAGCGGGGGGGGGGGTCTACCAGGTAGGCTCAGTAGAGCCTGAAACATAGGGCTAGAAGGAGCAATCAAATGCTAAATATGGAATGGAATTTAGACTACTGGTATGAAACAGATGCACCGAAAGTACCAAAAATAAAAGTGCACATCGTAACTTGTAGCTCAAGTTAGTAAACAACAATTCCGAGAATAGTACGCCTAAGTTACAGGAAATACAGCATGACCAAGGAAAACACTTACCAAGAATGGAGTCATTGATTCCGTTCCTAGAACAATGAGCCAAGGACCCTCATGGTTTGTACACACGTACACAGAAAGCACAAATACTTGACAATACTTCTGGGTCTGGTCACTTTCGGTATTCTTACCTGTAAGATGGCGGCTAGCTTTGACTTGGGTGCAAGTGATATTGACTTGGAAGATGCAGAAGTTTTGGGTGCCGCTTCCAACTACTTCAACTTTTTATCTACGGATGAAATAGCCAACATGTCAGGATTCTCTTTATCATCTACAGCAACTGCGACGTTAGCAACTGGTGAGGTAGTGGAAAAGACCACTACTGAAAAGCGCGTTTCATCAGAACAGCACAGCAGTGAAGAAAGAGTTACGCGATTTGTGCAAGTGTCTGAGTCAGATCTGGATAGGATACGTGAAAGTCGTGTTCCCGCGAACACCAAACGAGCTACTAAGAACTGGATGCGTGTTTTTGACACTTGGTGTGTGGAGAACAAGAAAACGTGCGACTTGAAAACAATACAAGCGACTGATCTAGCATCTATCCTGAAGCATGCCTATGTTGAAATCCGTCAAGTCAACAAACAGCCGTATTCTAAGAACAGCTTACTGCAGTTTCGGAGTGCCATTCACCGTGAACTACAAGAGCTGAAGCGCACCATCAATCTCTATACTGATAGTGAGCTTATCGAGGCTAACCAAGTACTTGATGGCTACCTAAAGCAGTTAAAGAAAGACGGCCTGGTAGCACCAACGCAGCACAAGCCTCCCATCTCCGATAGCGACAAAGAAAAGATATACAAGCACCTCGGTGACTGGAAGACAAATGCGGATCACCTCACCTACCTTGTCTGGTTCGTCATCACTTACCACTTCTGTCTGCGTGGTTCGGAGATTCAGGCACATCTAACATCCGACGACCTGGATGTGAAGACCGACGGCAAAGGCAAAAGATACATCAAATTAGCCACAGCATTCGCGCAGAAGAACCAGGAAGGCGGCATTAAAGGAAAAGACACGGTGTCTGATGGGATGATAGTGTCCGACTGGCAGGTGGAAGCTGTCCTACTCCTCACTTCAAAGTTGTCTGTGAAGTCCAAGCGACTCTTTCAGATACCACGCAAACATTACCAGCCAGAGGATTCAGAATGGTACACAGGCCAAGTGTTTGGTAAAAACAAAATCGATGGCATGATGAAGAAGATGAGCGAAACAGCGCGACTAAGCCAGACCTACACCAACCACAGTGTGCGCGCCACCGCCATTACGACCTTGGCTAAGCAAAATGTGAGTGCCACTACCATCATGCGTACTTCCGGCCATCGGAATGCCCAAAGCCTAGACTCGTACTTGCAGCCAAGCGAGCATGACAAGATGAAAACTGCTCACCTGTTTGACGTAGACGCCATTGATGAAGCACTGCAGTGCGCGACTCCGGAGGAACTGCAGGCCTTGGAAGAGCCTCAGGCACCTCCCCCGTCAGCTTCTGTCACTACCAGTTCATCCACGGTGACGTCGGAGAATAGCGCAAAATTCATATTCTCTGGCAACTTCAGTGGTTCGTTTCTGCAATGCAGTGTTCCATTTACAATTTACAATACTCCATTTCAATCAACTCTTCTATTTCCACTCCTCTATACTTTTCCTTCCTACCCTATGCTTTACCTAAGTTCAAACTAAACTCTACTGTGGGAATGTAGTTGTGTAGAAGGAAGAGCATGAAGTACGGTGCACATGGTGTGTAGGGTCATATGTGATAAGTAGAATATCACCCTCGTAGCTCGGGTGATACCGTACCCTCATATCAATCCCTTCTGCTTCGCAGTCGGGATTGATATTCGCCGGTATCACCCTCGTACTCATGAGATATTCTTTACTTATGTACTCTTGATATTATGATATGCATATCGATTTTTTTGTCAGATCTAAATAAGAAGAACTCCCGATTAACTAACTAATTTGTTCAGTCCCTTGAAGTTCGTCCTAACGAGGTTTGACTGTATTATTATAATTATTATTATTAACGCAATAAATAGAGTAAGCTGCTTTTATACATGAAAACAAGTTTTGCTAATGGTTTTTGTATTGAGTGCGCAGCTTACTCTATTTATTGCGTTAATTACATTTCTATCTCCACGCAAGTATTATTATTATTGCGGTCTCTGCTGGGATGACGACTACACCATAGCTCAGTGGTTAGAGCATCGCTGGCTACAGGCGAGGGTCCCTGGTTCGAGTCCTGGTGGTGACAGTCAATTTTTTCTTCAGACTTTTTCCGTTTGTGTCTTTCCCTCAAACCAGTGATTAGTATTATCCATCAGCACTCAATCGGCCAAAGGCCGGAGATAGGCACCCACCGGGTTAGCACCCAGCAGCCAAAGGTGGGGCCATGCATCATATGCATCATATGGGTATTAATTATGATTATGATGGTAGGTAAGCAACAGAGAGAAACACACAACACTTTTTTAAATATCGATCATAGGAAACACGAGAGGGTTTGGAGGAAAATAGGACCGAAAGAACTCCACCACCCACCCCAGAGCATTACAAATCAAGGACCTTACGCAGGATAGCTGCCGAGCCAAGGAGAGCATTCTTTTGCTGGCGGTCTCTTGCGATTATTTACCGTATGATTTTGTTACGACTGCACTGGTTCACAAAATCGCAATGCACCGGGAGAGGTTGGAAGAGGCCCACCGCCGGTGACTCCCGGCGCGTACTGGCGATATGTGAACCAACCCTAATGAACTCTGCATAAAATGTACGGTGTACTACTAAAAGCTACGCATTTCAGAAGTGTGTACGGTTTTGGCCTCCTGTACCCTTTCATCTGTACGATTTTCCTTTGTCAACAGCTGGCGGAACCCTATAAAAACCGAAGATCAAAGTCATTCTAGGTATCGAAAAGGGGCTCTCGAAGCCCCTAAATAGCTCCACAAACTATGAATAAGAATGAAGACCTGCATTTCATTTGCTTCTATTCTACTTTTAGTAGTCCTCAGTGGTGCTGAGTTACCGGAAGAAAATAATATCATACCACACCAATTCTCTCTGCACACAAACCACAAAACTACCTAGTATAATGCAAGTGAGATAATGCATGTAACCTCGTTCTTAATTATGGCTTGTTTGTGCCCTTCAGGTTAGCCCTCGGGCATACGGCCCTCAGGCTAACCTGTCGGGCACTAGCAAGCCATAAGGCCCTCCCTGCCATGCACTAACCTATAATTAGCGGCCGTGCTCGAACTCACAACCTTAGACTAGTACTTCTTGAAGTAGGAGATCGTAAATTATTTCCACCGATCTTCGCTTATTTTCTTCCGTGTGCATTCTGTATGCAGGTGAGGCTGCAGACTCCGTTTGCTAAAAATTCCAGTGCACCCTCTGTACCTGTCTGTACATCTCCGTAAACGCATGCTGATCCTGGTGTCCTTGGGAATCAGAGGAGGAACTTGCATTTGTATGGTTATTGCTGGCTCGTCGACTATGATCTAGCATGCCACCACCAGCAGCAGCCACATCCAGTAAGCAGGCATGTACCGAGCCGGGGAAGAAAGTATTGTCCACCTATGGCTTTACAAGTTGTGCTGATCAGCTTAAAGCCGACATAGTTGGAACGGAACTAAACAACATTGTGACATGTTCGAAAGCAGTCGACGATCTGATGGAAGGAGGCATCCCTATCTCGCAAATCACTGAGATCACTTCCAAGCCTGGAGCCGGCAAATCACTAATGTGGTAAGTTTATCACATGTTATCTGTTTTGCTGGTAGCAACATCATCAACAATTACGACGATGGGAATGGTGGCAACTGTGACAAACATGCGCAATTCACAAAACATTTCACATGGCTCAGGAGTCAGTACATTCCAACATCAGTTATCAACTTGTCATTTGTTTTCTGGCTTTGTACAGAGCACACTGTCTTTCTTGCAGTTGGAGCCATCCGACTTTGATGCTTTGAGCCGATTTAAAACTGCTTTGTTGTCCCTTAGACTTGATTGCGATTGGCTCGGCCAGTAACTCTGAGCTCCGCTGTTGGAACCTAGCCAAGTCGAGGCAGGTAGCTGTTCGGAGAATGAATATTTCCTGTTATACCTTTGTTCAGGAGCAAGGCAGAACTTTCTCCCTTCTCCTCACGCATTCCTTCTTATTGCATGTGTTCCCATTCATCATCTTCAGCTTGCAGATCGCAGTTGATGCTCACATACCAATCTCTTATGGTGGTGTCGGAGGTGAAACACTGTATATTGGTGAGTTGACATGATTCACGCACGTGTACTGCTCTGCGCCTCTTAGTAGGAAGGAATTGGGATAGTACAGATTGAAACGATTGTATTGTCATGGTCATGGTCATGGCTCCAACTTCCAAGTAGTTGAAACTGTCACTGATGCATGCATGAGTGGGTGTAACTTGCCTATCCCCTTTGTAGGTATTAATGTCAGACATGATTTGAGCAGACAAAACTATCGACGCTGGGGTTTACTTCTAGTACAGTGGGGCTAGGATATACCGTAAAAACCTGTAATAAGGCCCTGGGCGAAAACGATAGTGAAGGTCTAGAACGTGGGCATCAATTTGGGGCTGGGTGCTAATGTGGGCCGGTGCGCTTTTCCTAATAATGACATCAGATTTATTTCATAGCGTGCCATAAATACCCACACTCATTAGTGACCACACCATCAACAGTATCAAATTCAAATAAATTTACTTTGACTCAATAAATAGCACTGCACTTTTCCATGTTTTTTCCATTTTTAGGGAAAGTGAAGGTCAACATATTATTGTACATACCGTAAAATCCCGCCAGAGCGCCCCTACCTTCTCGACGCTTCAGGTGAGGAGGGGCGGATGGGCGATTCCTACTTGCCGCATTCAGTGCTACCAAGAGTACATAACCGCGGGGTTATGTACTCTTGGTGCTACATGAAAAAGTACTCACCCTACGAAAACTGTTCGTGCATCTCGTACACCGACCAAAGGTCAAGAGCCAGGAGTCGTACAGACCCGACAAAAATCCTCGTATGACTCTGTCGCAGTCTGTGATGCCGTACTGTACTGCAGACGCGTGCTCAACCCCGTTGGAAATAGTGCCCACCCTCGAGCGGAGAGAGAGGGCCTCTTGACCAGGGGTCGCACAAACCCTGCATTTAAAATGCCCTCTCTCTCCGCTCGAGGGTGGGCACTATTTCCAACGGGGTTGAGCACGCGTCTGCAGTACAGTACGGCATCACTGACTGCGACAGAGTCATACGAGGATACAAATCAATCACGTCCCTGACAAGAAGTCAGGGAGGGGCGGATGGGAGAGACGGGGCGCTCTGGCGGGATTTTACGGTATTATGTATAATAATATGTAGTAGCCTGAAAAGAGAAAAAAACGCCAGACCCACCAGGACTCGAACCCGGGACCTTGCTTGTCATGAGGAATGCTCTAACCACTGAGCTATGGTACCAGACTGAACCTAGAAGGCGCTGACAGGTTTTTCACTCCAAAGGCAGCTCACAACACGTGCCACACATACTGAAGAAAGGTGTGAAAGGTGGTGATAAATGGATATGTAAGTGTAGGAAATGTGTGGGTGTGTGGATGGATACGGTGCGGTGAGTGCGTGCTATATGAAGAGTTCTTTGTAAGCAGAAGGAAAATGTATTAGCTCTCATACTCTTCAAATAGCACGCACTCACCGCACCGTATCTACCCACACACCCACACATTTCCTGCACTTTACATTCCAGTTATCACTACCTTTCACAAGCTACATTATGCTATAGCCTTATAGCGCTTGAAAGTGATGACGTCAAAACCGCCAGGGACTAGGAAGTTCGCGTCAGATTTCTACTTTTGGATCCACTAAGGTGTGACTTTGCTATCAGAGAGGTTCTGCAAAACGAAAATGCGTACAAACTTTCGCTCTTCGTCATAAAGTGAGAAACTTCGCACGAACTTTCGCAACTTTGGACGCGAAACTTGCAGGGAACGCGAAATGAACTTTCGTGGGGAAATTTCGTGAGATCGGATCATGGCGTACTTGCACTTGGCACGTGCAAACTACGAAAATGTGCAGAACACAAAGTTCGTGCGAAAATTCGTACTTCAAAAGTACACATTTTCGCAAGGCCTGTCGCGAAACTTTGTTCGAATTTTCGTTTTGCAGAACCTCTGTATCGCCTCAGTGTGTGGGTACATAGCAACCCACTCATGTCGTATGCAGGTGTGACTTTTTCTTCGCCATCAGTTGTCACCCCGCCCCCATTAGCCAACCCAGTCAATTTCACCGACTATATCACCTTGCTGTGAGTAAGACCGCTTGAAATGTGCTTGGATCCATACAAAAACTGGATCCATGTGGATCCAGTTTGTGAATTTTTGAAATTGTTGCTGTGCTGTGACGTAGCCCTTTCAAGCCCTATTGGTTGGCTGTGACTTGTGCTGTTTTTTACCGCATGAATTTTGCTATAATTCTCACTCTTAGGCTGCATTCGATTGTGGAAACTGGATCCAGATCCCCGCCGACAAGATCACTTCGATCGGACGGATACAATCGAATGTGCACAACTGATAATCGGTTTCAAAACCTTAGCAACCGCGTTGCTACAGCTCATCCCGTATTATTCTGTGGTATATGTACGCATTATGGTGAACTCTTGACCTAGCGCACGCATACTAGTACTGTATTTAGAGTTTGGGGTAGATACCATCAAGAGTAGATAAACAAGAGTGTGCAACTCGCGGATCGGTAGGCCCACGGCGGAATTTTTTGTTGACGTAATCTTTTCGACGACGCACACGCTGCGAGTCTTTCGGAAAGTTTTCCCTCGTGCTCTTGGCCGGGCTTTACAGTATAAGGTCGGTGCCCAGCACGTGCTCTCACACTGCTCTTCGGCAAAATGCGCGTTTCTCTTTAAAAAGGTGACGTCAACAAAAAATTCCGCCGTGGGCGGGGGTATCTGCAGATTGTGCAGGAGAGATCCGGAGTTGCACACTCTTGTTTATCTACTCTTGATACCATGCAAAAGAATCCGTCGAATCCGGCTCTGTGAGGTGGGTTGACTGGATCCGAATCCGTGGCCCCGGGATCCGGATTCGTACAATCGAACACGTACGAATTTGGCGAATCCGGGCCCGGGGGCCTACGGATTCGCACAATCGAACATGCCCTTAGGCTACGATCGTTTGGTCGGATCCGGATCTCAGATCCGTCGGATTCTTCAGAATCAACCAATCACTTTTTTTGGACCTTGGTTGTTGCCATGTCGACGAAGTAAAAAATGGCGCTGACATATCACCCAAAAGGGCGAAAGTCGTACTAATCGCGCGTGCGCATCGTACGAAAAGTCGACTAGCCGTACTACAATGAGTACAAAAATGATTTTTACCCGCCATATACCGTTGTGTCTTATATTAAAGCCTATCTCGAATAGAAGCCTGTTTTGAATAGAACCCTGATTTTTAAGATAAGCTGTCGGCAAATAAGCCTGGTTTCAGTGCTTACACGCATAGAAATACCTGGTTTGAATAGAAGCTGTAAAAAAAAATTTTATTAGGCCACCCAGAATTAATTCGTTGTTTCGGGTCACCCGATCCCCGACCGACCGTCTTTTTTCACCCGACCGCAAAATGTTTTTTTTATAGTGCATGCAAATGTACATGACTAGACTATGTACGTACATGTACACACGCGCCTAATAATAGCACTTTTACAGTTTTAGCAGATCGACTCAGAAGCAGCCAAATAAAATGACAGGATGTAGCGCTTGGTGTCGATGTTGTCTTCTATTATTATCTCCGATCCGCAATCGGTCCTGATTCACTCCTGAAACAGCATCAGCTCCGCCACCGCATCGCTCTTTGACAGACGTTTTCAAGGTGAGAGCTGCTTCTCAGACTCCTTTGCCAGCGAGGCCAAGGTCTGGTCCTGGAAGGGACCTGGATCTGATGGGACAATGACTGCGCTGGATCGTCTACAGGCATGATTTGATCCACTGTCTTGATGGACAAAAGCTATTCGATACGCACAGTTGTACATGTACATGTATGCACATATACATGGCAGTAACCAAAATAAAAAATATAATATAATAAAAAATAAACCCGACCGACCAACCCTGGTACGGATGGATGAGTGACGTGACCCGAAACAACGAATTAATTCTAGCTGGCCTTAGAATATATTTTTTTCCCATGGTATATCCAAGCCTCTTGTACAGGCAAAATAAAAGCTGTAAAAAAAGTGGTGGACATCACGCAACTGCATTATAAAGAAAAGGGGGTTTGTCTACTCACAACCGCTCTATTCAGTTGCTATACACAATCGCTGCATGCACTGGATGAAACATTCTTTATTGTGATGTCGAAAAATTGGAAAAACTATTTGCACACACAATTCTTGTTGTATACACCTTCGTACACATTCCTGCGCTTTATCTGCTGAGCTTTTGCATACCCACTCTTTCAGGACACTTCTCCTTGTCTGCTGTACATGCGAATTCATACACTCAATTTCATACGGCTATTGTGTGTTTTTGACTTTTTGTACATGGACATACATACACTCTCGCTTGCTTTCGCTATACAAGGCCAGGTTCGCCCCTTGTAAATTGTTCTGACGATGGGTGACTGGCCCGAAACGTCATAATTTTTCGTCATCACAATAAAGAATTTTTCATCCAGCGCATGTGGCGGTTGTGAATAGCAACTGAATAGAGCGCTTGTCAGTTGGCAAACCCCCTTTTCTTTATATTGATTGTTTGGTTATTCCTAATTTAGTGACGACTTTCCACTAATGAGTGTCGCGTGCCTTTATACCGTATTATCTCTATTACAAGTGCAGTCTCTTGTAGAAGCCCAGTCTCTATTATAAGCGCACTCCAAGAGGGCTTCGAAGATAAACAAGCGCAGTCTCCAATATAAGCGCAGGACTTATAATGGAGAACCGTATGGATCATGTCCATGCACGTTTGACGTCACACAGTATCACAGAAAACACATGCTGTGGTAATCGTCTGTGATCCCCGAAATCTAAATTTCAGACTCAGTGTACCAGGAAGCACAAAACTGCAGTCCCGGTACCTGCTGGGGAACTTTGTGCTACTGATATAGTGAAAAAAATAGGCAATGTACTGTATTATGTACATATACCAGGTGGTTGAAAAATTATAAGCCAAGTCTCTAGTAACTTATAAGCCCGGGGTCCGGACTGGTTGAAAAAATATAAGGGCGGGGCTTATAATGAAGATAATACGGTAATCCATAATTTTCTCAAATCTAGGCCGCGCATTATACTCCGGATATAACTTGAATTACCAAAACGTTGGTAAAAAAAAGGTGCGCGTTACGCTCAGGTGCGCATTATACTCCGGCAAATACGGTACCATAGATCCACCCCCTCTCTAATTTCCGCCCCCAAATATCTGCCTTGGAAGCGACTGCGGCATACTAGTACACAATGAAATATGTTGTTGAACCGACGCATGCGGTGCTGTACACAATACATGCCAGTGCAGGATTTAAATGTGCATAATCCAGCATGGCAAATCTGATCCTCTGCTTTGTTGTACATCGTACTGCACTTGACAGACTTGATCTAATTCGCGCCCCCTGCCGAAAAACCAGCTGGGAAGCGACACAGCGTGGGGGGGGGGGGGGGGGATCAACAGTACTTTACGGTACACGCCTAAGGGGGCGTTCGAATTGTCATTCTTTGACTTTTCGAGGAGTTTCGTTTTCTGCAGAGGTAGCTTATTGGCCTCTTCAGAAAACGAAAGCCTCCTTAAAACTCCTCGAAACTCCACAAACCTATCCAATCAGAGAGGTGGATTACTTTAGGCTGTGTTTACATGAGAAATTTCCACCCGGGTCGAGTTCGGCCCGGGTTGAAAGTCTGTACGATAGACAAAATAGGTGAGCGTTTACATGAAGACAGTTGACCCGGGTCAAATACTGATATGCCGCCAAAAGTAAACTTCTAGAGTCCTGTATGATCACGTGAATCCGTTCGCGCGAAATTTGCATATGCAGTCCTGTTCAAACCTGGCGCGAGATACGCACAGAAGTACGTTTGTACGATTTTCTTGACCCGGGTTGATTTCAACCCGGGGCGAAATTTCAACCCGGGTCAAGCGCAATGCGTCATGTAAACGCGCCATTCATTTTGTGCACATGGCGGGTTGAAATCTGACCCGGGTTGAAACGCCTCATGTAAACACAGCCTTAGAAGAGCTTGGAATATTGCCGCGAAACTGCCTTTTGTATGCATTTCCCGTAGTGCCTACGACAAAGCTTGCACATACGGCAAGAGAAGCCCATTATCATGTGGGAAGCACGCTTGGAAAGCACGCTTGGAAAATCTCAGGCATTGCTATGACAATTCCAAAGGAAATGGTGAGGCTGCCAACCACCGTTCAATTGGGATATTTCAAGTTGAAGTTGAATTAATTTTCAACTAATCTCTTCTAAGATGTTTCTCGAAAAGGTGATGAGTACAATTCGGATGTGCCCTTAGACTAGCTGTTTCACAGTAGCAATTTATTTTTCTTGGGGGGGGGGGGGGGGGGGGGGTGGTCCGTCTTTTCATTTGTCACTTTCCTTCTTGCTCCCTTTTCCGTCTTTGATTCGGGCTTCTTCCTTGCGGTATGTGTGCACCTCTTTATTATGTACAGACTGTGACGGTCGCTTCAGTCCCACACGCTGCAATGATATTGCACAAGCTACTGTTGATCATCTGCAATATGTTTCTTTAATACGTGACCTCCCTAGTAAGCTCTTTTGTACTATCTATGTTGCTACTGCCAAATGGGTAAAAATTATCTATTTCAGCGTAGCAACTTCCAACGTATTGGTAAAATTTGGCTTGTGAGCAACACTGGCCCACACTCAGGCTGCGTTCGTTTTTAGCTACCTGGTAGAGTAGCGTAGAGTCACTCTAACGATAAAGGTAGATGGTAGAGGTAAGTGCATGAACGCTGTCCTACAGAATTTAGTAGTTTACACGATGTGTACAAGTACGTGAAATGTTTCTTTTTTGTATGAAGTTGTGTACAAATCCTTGATCTTGCTGGAAATCCTGTAGCTCTACCAACTTCTACCGGCTTCTACCAACTTTTTTCCTGGTAGAGCCGGTAAAGGAAAGTAGAATCTACCCTTTTGAGTAGATTTTTCTCAAAAAACGAACACCTCTACCGAAAGAAGTAGTTTCTACCCCAACCTGTAGATCAAAAACGAACGCCCCCTAAATCACTGCTTTTCACAAATAATTGATTTCAGAAAAAAATCAATTCAAGGAAACTGGGTCGGTTGACTTCATTGACACGACTATTCATGTCTCCTCCGAGGGCGCAATCTCATTCGAGCTGTTCCGCAACGCTTGCCACAGTGGTCTCGTCTCAGATTTCAACTCGTGCGATCCGCAACAGCAAAAACTCGCCATCGCGTCTTCGGAGTTCCTCCGCGTGGCCCGCCTTTCCTCTGATCCTGCAGCCCGCCAGCGAAGTGAGCAAAAGGTTATTGACACATCAAAATTCAACAACTTTCCTGACAAAGTTATCGCGACTGCTCATGAACGAGCCAGACAACCTGCTAAACAAAAGAAAGACTATCAAACCACGTTGAAGTTACCATTTGAAACGGATGCCATCCACTACAGGGTCCACCGTCTTCTAAACAAATATAACCTAAATGTGCAGATAATCTACAAGAATGCAAGCCTTTCCAACAGCGTCACTAAGTCCAGCCTCACTGAACCTCGCTGCCGTAAGTGGGTGGATCCCGCTGCCCCGAGGCGACGAGGAAGGCATAAAGCCGCCTGCGTTGCATGCCAGTTGAGCGAGGTAGAGTGCACAAGACGCAACGTGGTATATTGTCTGACCTGCACATGCTCGGAGAAGTATGTTGGAGAGACTGGCCGCAGTGTAGCAACGCAAACAAAAGAACACAATGATAACTCACGCAACAAGACGTCTGGAAAAGCCCTCGGCGAGCACGACCGACTTCACCATGGCAGCGAGGTACTGCCGCTTGGTGAGTCAGCATTGACAGAGGTTCGCGTCCTTGCCACTGAGTCGGATCGGGCCAGGAGGAGAATACGCGAAGCAATACAAATCGCGGCATGAGCCCCAGCATAAGCAATAACGCAAGGTGGGACCTCCTGTGAAGTAATGCCTTGTAATTATTTCTGGCCCTGATACTAAAGTAATGCCTTGTACATATTTCTGGCCCTGATACTCGCTTTTCCTGGATAGTGGTATTTTTGCACCCCCATGCACTGTTACTATTACTGTTGTTGCCTGCAATTACATGTATGCACGCATTAACATGTACATTCTGTTTGGTGCCTGTACCTGTGCCATAGTTATCGCGTATTGTGTTATTTCTATACCAGGTTTTTTGTGATGTTTTGTTAACCTCTTTTTCTCTCTCGTAATAGTGCATGCAGGTGTGAATTTTTATCTCTTCGCAGCGCTACTCATTTATTAACCTATCCTAACTAGTTCATTCCTGATGATGGTTATTTTTATGACCGAAACGTTGATTTAAAAAAAATTCTGAAATGAACTTGTGAAAAGCAGTGATTGAGTGTGAGCCAGTGTTGCTCACAAGCCAAATTTTACTTATGAAGCTGCGTGATGTGTCCTACAAGATTTTAAACATATTGGTAGTTTCGATAAACCTTTTCAGAACTCCACTCAGTGCTGGCAAGAGACAGTTGTGGGTACCTGTACGAACGGCAATTAGAAAGACCTGTATATTGGTAGAATATAGAATATTCGTTCGGTGGAGTGGTGCAAGACAGACGCTGAGGGCAAGTAGTTATTCACAACGCTGTCACCTCCCACAACTAGTTGCACGCCCGCGTAAGGGATGACAATACAAACTTAGAAGTAGCAACTGTGGTGGTATCAGTAAATGAAGTTGGTTGCTCCTATGTGGAACACACGTTTGCTGCCGAACTTGACTGACTGACGCGTCACGACTGCCATCCGGAGAACACGAGAAACCTATCACACCTTCCACTTGGCAAACCTGCAAGAAAGCACCACTCTCTGCTCAATGCATGTACACAGTAAAGGGTGAATTCCTCCGAAACATTGTGTATTGAGCAAGGAGTGATGCTTTCTTGCAGGTTTGCCGAGTGGAAGGTGCAATGAGTTCCTCGTGTGCTCCGGGTGGTAGTCGTGAGTCAGTCAAGTGTCAAGTTCGGCAGGAACCATGACATTGTGTTCCCCGTAGTAGCAACCAACTTAATTTACTAATAAGGACGTTTAGCAACGCGAAAGTTCGAAAGAAAATTCGAGTCTGGGAATGAGTACAGAAACAAAGGTCGAAACTTCGAAAACTTGGACGCGAAGTTGCAGTGATTTGCGAAAGTAACTTTCTCTTTTCTCGGTACGCATTTCACTACAGGGAGTAGTAATTTTACAGCCCCCTGCTTGAGACTGAGCTGCATATACTGTACGGTACTATAAGATTCAAATAGCTTCGAGAAAAAGTCGTTTCGCATTGCTAAACCTCACAAGTTTTCTTTTTCGAAATAGATTTTCGCGAAATATCGCCACCACCAAAAGTTCGAATTTTCGCATTGCTAAACGTCCCTATTACCGCAGAAGTCGCTACTTTCAAGAAGAATTCATGTTTGGTTTAAACACTACTCGTTTAGTACTGCACTCACTCTTTGACTAGAATAATAAACTATTGTTGTTCTGGGAGCTTTGAATGGCTTAATCAGATTGCTGTGTTGTGGTAGGAGAAACCTGCCAAGTACTGCTTGATTTCTAGGAGTTCCATGGTTCATGCACTGCACCAGTCCATCATAAATGCAGAAGCATCTCCTAAACTGGATGGTTTGCTGCTGATGAGCAACATTCCCTACCGAATATGTTTCTCGGTAGCACCCCGATGGATAGTGCTCTCCTATTTCCCTTTGTCTCTTTCTAACTTGTGATCCAATTTTGAAATGGATTTATGGGGCATGGATGCAGCGAATGGGATATTCGGTATTTGACCACTTTGGTGATGGGTGTGATCTACTCACCAACCACTTTAGGAGCTGTATCTGCGCCTTGATCCTTGAGGGTGGTGGCGCTCCTATGGATGCGGAAAACTCAGCCTAACCAAGTCTCTACGTGAACCGTGAATTTTTATAATTATTTTTATGTGGCACCTGTGAAAATTCTTGATTTCAATTGTTCACCTCTCTCAAACTAATGGTCTGGAGGTCATCCCTGATTAGATCAACTGTACTGTTTTCTGCTGCTTTGATGGGTAGAGGAGATTGCGGATGCATACGACTTGAAGTCAGTATTATCCAGCATCATGGTCCAGTACGTGCCAAACTATCTTGCTTTCTTTGCGGTGCTGCATCAGATTCCAGACTTCCTAGCAACCCATCCCAAAGTAAGTGCTGCTCTAGTTTACGGAACATCTGATCCCAAAGATAGGATAGATTTCTTGGAAATTCTTCAGGCTATTGCAACATGTTATACACTGTACTGTGTAGTCCACCACGCCACACTGCCATCTTGGCATATGCACCCCCCACCCACACACACTTGGGAAGAATGATGCCGTAGGGATTTTTGTCGCTAATATTTTGAAACCCTCCAGTCAACTGCTTCACTTTTGCAGAGCACGTCAATGGAGGTAATTTTGCAGAATATTGACTGTAAATGATGCACACGAATCATAGGTTCAAGAAAGGATAAAACTGATGCAATAGCAACATGCTTGAAGCAAAGCATCTGCGCGCGGCAAGGTTGTCTCAATAGAGAGGTTCCGCATAACGTAATTACGTTAGTAAAAACGTAGTCGATCTACGGAAAGTCTTACGTAAACTGCATGCGCATCTGTGTTCCGCCATACGGAGTTTTCAAATCACGTAGCTGCCCTTGGCAAATCCGAACGCAGCAGTGTACGACCAGATCGACCTGGGGAGAGAGTCATAAATTTGTACCCCAATCCACTTACGGACCAGCTACGTTATCAGAGCCCTATCTACGTACTCTACGTAGACAACTTTCCGTAAGTGGAGTGCAAACTCGCGAATTCACGGGTTTTCCCCGCCCACTAACGTAAAGTTGCTCAACTTTACGTAGTGCGGAACCTCTCTACTATCAGCATTTTTTTCTCGTTAAATTTTGCCAGTTGTGTAAGTCACCCACGAGTGCAATATTGTGGAGTGAGTTGTAAAATGCGCAATGGCTCATGGCTCCGTGGCAACCAATCCTTCTTATTGCTTGAAGTCTTTTAATTTTATAGATGTATTTCAATTCTGTTCATGGTCTTCGTGTTTGAAGCAAATGGTCGTGAAGTAGTGGTAGCCCCATTCCATAGCATTTTTTGCCAATTGAATTGTATGGAACACGTGCATCCGAGGGGCAACGCAAATTTCTCTCGCAAACATTGATAATGAGATGATATCATCGGCAACATCACTAATGGTCTTGGGTCCTTTTACTACGGGCAGGGGCGGATCCAGGAGGGGTTCCGCGGAACCCCCTAAATTTTGTAAATGTACTACTGGAAGCCATATACGTGTGCATATACGTGTGCATATACGTGTCAGCTATTCAGTTTTGACTAAACTGGAATCCCCCTGTAGAGATCGCTGGATCCGCCGCTGACGGGCTGGGGTGTACTTTTTGGAGCCGTCATCTTGTAGTATCTAGTAGTGTATGTGGTGGATTTTGTTTGATGTCCACTCACAGGTAAAGTTGATTGTAATTGACAGTATAGCAGGAGTATTTCGTAATTACAGGACTGATTACGTCCGGCGTTCGCAGTTGCTCATTAGCGCCCAGCAAATTCTTCTGCAGATAGCCACCCGCAACAAACTGGCGGTAAGTGCTGGAAATTATCTTTCCATGTATGTTTACAACGGTACTCCGGGTTTTGCGTGACAACCACAATGAACCAAAACAGACAGACGTCTACTGTAAGACATGTATATACAACGAGGAAGTAAATCTAACGTTTTAACGGATGACATTTCTTCGTTATAATAAGATCCGTTGACGCCGTACTGCTTCATATATGTTGTGTGTCGATATGCCGGAATACTGCAAGATCATTAACATGTCTTCTCGTTAACATATGAATTTTGGACAATCGTTAAATTACCGACTCGTTATAATAACATGTCTTACAGTACTCTTTGGTGGCTACATGCACACTTTGCACACTTTTACACAATGATTTTGTGCTTTCTGTGACTTGCTCTTCTGCAGGTTGTTATCACTAACCAAACTGTAACACGCTTCAGGTTTTCACAAGGGAAACGTGAAGTATATTTCCGACCAGCTCTGGGTTAGTTGATGGGCCTTGCTGCTGTGCTCTTTATCTTTCACCTTAGTAGAACTCTCTCCGGCTTTCTCTCTCTCTCACACACACACACACACACACACACACACACACACACACACTTGTACTTGTACTTGCTCACTGCCAAAACTGGTCACGTGGGGCTCCCCGGGAGAGGGGAGAGAGACTCAAAAGGAATCTTGGAAAGATGACTCAATTGGCCATTGAACCACCCAACGGCCGACACCCCCTGAAAATCCCCAAACTAGGGTGGACTTGAAATGATCCCACTTATGGGCTCACCGCACCTCAGTAAGTGGGTGAGGACAAGGTGCAGAAAAAAGATTGACGGCATCAGGGTATCCGTCCCGGGATCCAACTGCAGGTACCCCTGCCCCCAGTGAAGGTAATACTTGGTACTAGTGTGGGTGGCTAAATCAGAGTGGATCTGATATAAGCTTCACTAGCACCATTGATTACACAAGAGTTAATCTAGCCAGAAGCAGTCCATGGTTAAGAGGTATGTATACTTCAAATAGAAAGTATATGAACCCTGAAACCAACAAAGGTGGTAGGTACAACAATACAACTTCAAGCAGCCAAGCCCGTCGGCAACAGGCCCAACACTATCTGGCATAAGTGTACCCACCAACCGAACTAGCTGGCACACACACACTCACTGCCGCTCTTTCTCTCCCTCTTTCTCTATATATCTGTCTGTCAGCCTGTCTGTCTGTCCGTCTGTCTAGCAAGAACTTAATTCTCCAAACGATAACACACCAGCAAAGGTCCAGCTAGAAATCCGTAGTGTGCAACAGTAGGTAGCCGAACCCCACCACAGGGGCAAGACTTGATACTGATGAATCTCAAGGTTTCGACCATATTGGTCTTCTTCAGAATGACTGTCTGTCTGCCCGCCTGTCCCTGTCTGTCCGCCTGTCCCTGGCTGTCTGTCCGCCTGTCCCTGTTTGTATGTATTTCTCTCTCTCTCTCTCTCTCTCTCTCTCTCTCTCTCTCTCTCTCTCTCTCTCTCTCTCTCTCTCTCTCTCTCTCTCTCTCTCTCTCTCTCTCTCTCTCTCTCTCTCTCTCTCTCTCTCTTGTGTGTGCATTTGTGTGTGTTTGTGTGTGTTTGTATGCATACTAGTGGTGAAACGAATATCAAAACCCAGTAGCCGAATATTCTTTGGCTTAACGAACGAACGAATATTCTTTCGTTAACACGGATGACATCACACACCCTCCTCTCAGTCATTTTATTGGATATTGTCACTATTATTAGGCATGACAAAGGAAGGCACATATTTCTCCATCATTTCTAGGTCAATTTTCACAAAATCCCCAGCTGAAGTGCATTTTACACGCTCAAAAAACAGCTCAAGACGTGATTTTTCTTTCGACCGCCATAACTCCATTCCAGGACCTCGGATCGCGTCCGGGTTGCTTCGAGACGACAGCTGAGAGTTTACTAATGCCGATGGAACTTTCGATGAAGCGGTTCGGTCAAGTATTCGCGAAGTTACGGAAGTTTGAAGTCGCCTGCTAAACTCTGCATACCCGGTTAGCGAATATTCGCCATGAGAAATATTCGTTCGAATGTGACAAACCGAACGAACATTCGAATATTCGGTATATTCGTTTCACCACTAACATTGCATACGTGTGCACCAGTATGTGCCTGTGTGTGTATGTGTGTCCCAACCTGTTGGAAAGTTGTCGTTAAACATGCAACAAACTGTTGCAGAACAACATGATATAGATGTAATTCGGAACCTAGTAAAAGTATAACTTTGTTTGAGGCCGCTGTTCCGTCACTAAGTTAATAATTGAATATATTGAATAAATCATTCACTCTTTCCCGATATGTCGAAGCATGCTGTATATACTCCAGCAATGATTTTTCTTGGACTATGACAGTGCTATGTTGCACTGTTTGTACCTGACTCAGCACTGTCGAGCTCAGGCTGTCCTGTGCCCGGGCTGACTGCAGGTAGGTGTTATAAATCAGTAGGGCCGGCATGTCAATGTGCCATCGTAAAATTGACACTACCGTCAGTCTGACTTGACTGAGAGTCACATGCACAACATTGCGGGCTACACCTGCTGCTGTTAAAAGAAGAGTATTTTCTTGTTTCATTCATTGCATTTAGATGCCAAGAAATGAGTCCTAGCTCCCCTTCGCTTCTACTTTATGCACCGCTTGTTGCCTCTGCCTTAGGCGATAGCTGGGGTCACGCCGCGTTCCATCGCATTCTCATTGAAGGTGAACATGTTCGTCGCAGTACGAAAAGGTAAATACATCACCTATGAGCATTGACTCCTTGGCGTGGAGTGAAGTGATATGAATTGTATGAACCGTCTCAGTTTTGTATCGGTCCCACTGTTTAGTGTGCAATGCTGTTGTTTTTTCTTGTGTGTAGGGTTGTCACCGTACAGAAGAGCTCTATTTATAAGCGCTCTTCAGCAGCCTTTCAAATTACTGTAAGTATCGTGCAACTCACACTCTATTGTTGTTGATACATGGGCCATACTTTCTCTGACAATGCACCAAGGCAGGCAGATACCGGTAGGTTCTGCATGGTATCAAGAATGCCTGTAGATAGCCAAGAGTGTGATATTCTTGATCCGCCATGGACCCACCCAACGCAGAATTTTATTTGCATCATTTTTTGGCTGAAGTATAGTCAAGTGCCTTGGCCTTTCCGCACCTATATGATACGATATCAGTTCATCAGGTTCCGGACCCATGGGTCCACTGTCCATTGTTCTTCTTCAACTACTATTGCTTGAATGTACATGTAAAATTTCTTCACCCTTTTCTAATCTCTGGCTATGTATGGTGGCATCAGTGAGCCAAATGGTTGCAAAAACTGACATCAAGAAAACAATTCCACCATAGGCCAAGGGATCGCCACGTTGCACACTCCTGACCATCTACTCTTGATGGAATTCGGTGAAGTTCTTTGTGCTACACGACTAACTCAGTTGTTCGTGCGCCGGTTCCACTTGGGCGTCCTGTCCATTCCAGCTACTGCAGTTAGCAGTGGGGGCGTGGAATGGATCCAGGTCTGCTCATGCTGGCCAAGAATAAGCCAATTCATTTGACCTCATTGTGCAACAGTATTGCAAGAGTGTACCGAGGTCACCCTCTCCGGCCCATTGAAAGCGACTCGGTGTTGGCTTCCATCAGCTGGGAATCGAAGATCATGTCCGAAACCTCTACCTTGCTCTCAGGATGATATCTCTGAGGGTACAGCACCGGTTTTCACGTATAGCGTCTCGTCTCAGATGTGATTTTGGAAGACAATATGCAAAGTTGCTTGCGGTGGAAGACCTCTATGCGATGCAGCTGCTATTTTGTTTGTGTCAAGATATAATAGGGCACACAAAGCGCGAACAAATTGTGTAGATGGATATTGAGATTCTCACACGCCACCGATCAGCAAATAATTATGTGTGTAATAGCTGTACTGTCTATTTCGTCCACTATCTTCCACAGTGCTCAGGTTGAAGTTTAGAATAACCAGTTATTATTAAAACTTATTAGCCACCATACCAGTTTTCTGGAGTATAGACATGTACAAGAAACGCACAATGTGCAAGACCGATACATTGAAGGGAGGAAGTAATAGCTGGTTGTATCTCTAGATATCTGTTGCAAGTACAGGGGTAAAGTGATGTCAGGTACAGTCGCATGTCACTTATCCCACAGTCAGTCATCCGGTATGCCGGTTATCCAACTGTGCACTGATAGCTCATACACTGTACATCTGCGGGCCTACTTAGAGCAAATGTGGACTGTGAGCATCGTGAAAGTTGCCTTTGCGTGTATAATGCATCCCAACAGTGCAAGCGTACTAGTGGGATGTATTATACTTGTGCTGTCCTTCATATACAAACTGACAGTCGTAGGCCAGCCCTGACTCCGGGGCAACGGTATTATAATTATGGGGTTTATATTGGGCTGGGGTTTATATGCCCAATATAAACCACCTGCATGATGGGGAAGTTGACTAGACGTTTGTATGAAAGGTCAGCATAAGCAACGTTACAAGTCAGTCTATATGGATGAGCTCTGATCGCACAAGGATTAGCCAATTCCAGGCCAGGGTATAGAGGATCATGTGACATTGAGAAATGTGGCATCTTCATCGCGAAATGTGAATGGAAACCAGGGTTTGAACATTGAAGGATAGAATTGTAATTTTGTGTGGAATACTGACTCTATTGTTGACTATCTTCTCTGTACTCTGTTGTCCATCCAGGAAGATGGTGTTCGTGCTCATAATGTTTATAAATACAAGATCCCAGCAGAATCCTGAGTGGCCGCCTTCCTCAGTCTACTGGCACAGTATCTGTGAGTCTGGCAGGCTTCAGCCGACACATGATGACTGTATATTATACTCAGCGTTCTAGCCAAAGGGGGGTGGGGGGGGGGGGGGGTAGGGGGGCGCAGCGCCCCCCTACTCTGTTTGCGCGCCCCCTGTGAAAAATTGCCGCCACCTACTCATTTTCCGATTTTCGTGTTTTTCATGCATAGATGGTTCATAAAGGCACATTTGTCTGGGGTGAAGTCAGGGATTCGCCCCATACGTTGCATTTGGCGCGGCAAAACAATATTGGAAAGTGGAAAAATGGGATACAGTCAGACCTCGTTTATCCGGTCCTCGTTTATCCGGATCCCTCGCCATCCGGAAGAAAATCGCTGGTTACCGATGTGCAGCATATGTTATGCATACAACATAACCGGACCTCGCGATCCGCATACCGGTGCATGATTTTGTGTACAAACTGGTTAAAATGTGTACAAAATGCTTCGTCGTATCCGGTTGCATGTGGCTGGCTAGAGCTTGCAGAAGCTAGCATCAAGGAGTTGTACAAGCAAATGAGGTCCTTGACCTGCTGGGTGTGTGCGGACAGCACTCAGTTGCATGCACTTGTCATTTTTCTCGCTTGTTTTACATACTGGGCACACTAGTTGTACTGCATAGGACCTGTCTACATGTATGTATGATGTCACTGCTTTTGACATGCCACATGCATGTACAGTATGTGTGTTCAGTTATCCGGTTACTTCGCCTATCCGGATGTTTTTGTGGAAAACAGATGTGTGCGGTTAAGCGAGGTCTGACTGTATAACCGTTTCCCATGCCCCCTACTATTTTGACCTGGCTAGAACCCTGATACTGCAGTGGTAAATTGAACGGATATGTTCATTGTATATTACAAGCAGCTGTAACTGTGCTATTTCCTACATAACGAACAATCTCATTGGCTGTGCAAACACGAGAGAGAGTTTTGTTTGTTTCTGTGTGTGCTTACTTTGGACTTACCGTAATTCCGCGCATATAAGCCCACGGGCCTATCCGGATATAAGCCCACCTCCGTTTATAAGCCCATGGACTTATAAACAGACACAAATACAACTCGCGTGTCAACAAGAATTTTTCACAATGTGGACTCTTCCTACCATGGTACAGCAGGTCAGTGCAGTTTACCAGTAGAGTATGGTAGACTCACTATGAGCACGGACTTGTACTTTTTCGTGAATCTTCAAAATTTGAATATTGGCCCATGGGCTAAAAAACGAACATGTTTTACTGGATATTTTATCCCCAAACTGCATTATTTCACATATAAGCCCATGGGCTTATATGCGTGGAATTACGGTACATGTATGAAATGGGGCGAAGTAAGTTGACTATTTTCTCCCGGTGGTTGCTTAACAGACCGCTCTTGGAGTGCTGATGCTCCAAAGCGACCTTCGCCCATGATTTAAATCACTAATAACTTGGAACATGGCAGCGGGCAAAGCAAACAAGGCATGCGGATGCACTTTTTTTTACCTTGTACAGAGCGCCGGGCTGCTGAGTCACTCCACATGCGCTGAATGATGTGTGCACCTGCAACCTGCATGCATATAACAGAAAAGACTCACACCAAGTCTCCGACGAAGTTTGTTCGTGTTCTTTTTTTTGTGAAGTCACGCACAAGAGGCCGAGGGAAGTTGATGTCAGCTCATAGCCTCGGGGACGAACTATTCATTTAGTTTATTCATGAACTTAGAAGTAGCGACTTCGGCGGTAATTGTATACAACGTTGGTTGCTCCCATGTGGAGCTCACGCTTCCTGCCAAAGTGCAATGCTGCTCAATAAAATCCGATCAAGCAAGTCAATGACACGCCGGGTACTCCCTAGACCTGCAAACACTGGGGTGTGAACTGGTGCATGTACACAGAACAACATGGGCAATCGAGACCAGTTAGTTGCTACTCTGAGTTTCATGCTTTCGCAATCACCAGGCAACACTGTCAGCACACTGGGTGCGTCCTCCGGTCCTACGATACATGTACATGTATAATCCTACAATGTGTAACATGCATAGGAAACGTCTATTCAGTCCTATTTCCCGGTATTTTACCCTGGCGTCGCCTCAGTTGTCGAGACATTTTTCTACTTCTGTGTTTTGGGTGTGAATCAAAAAATGTCTGTATCAAAAAAGGACCATTACCGTGAATGGCATTCTGTCAAGGAACGTTTGAGACGCGCTATGTTGGAGCACTGCACTGATACACGTAGTACTTTGAGACGTTGGAGCGCTGCACTGATACACGTAGTACTTTGAGACGTTGGAGCGCTGCACTGATACACGTAGTACTTTGAGACGTTGGAGCACTGCACTGATACACGTAGTACTTTGAGACGTTGGAGCGCTGCATTGGAACATGTACAGTCAACTTCGCTTATAACGACACTCGGCGGCGGGGCATCAAAAAAGTGTCCTTATTCGCGAAGTATCGTTATACCCGAAGTCTCATTATATGTATTACAGTTGGATGGAACTTTGCTCTGGGCATGGACATTCTGTCGTTATTCGCAAATTGTCGTTACCGTATTTCCACAAATAGTAGGCCGGTCTACTATTTTTTCAACCTCGTCCTAACCCGGCCTTATAATCGAGGACCGTCTTGTATACGAGGACGGTCTTTTATTCTTTCAACCCAGTTTGACCCCGGTCTTCTATTTCTCGCCACACAGTTTTACCCCCGTTCTTCCATTTTCTTCTACACAGTTTGAGCACAGTCTTCTATTTTTTCCCACAGTTTGAGCACGGTCTTCTATTTTTAACACAAGACAAAGACTCATTTAGTAGGCCCGGTCTTCTAATCGGAGACGGTCTTTTATTTTTTCAATCACCCCCTGCCCCGGCCTTGTATACGAGGAAGGCGTTGTATACGAGGACGGCCTTTTATTTGCGGAAATACGGTATATCCGCAGTCGTTATTAGCGAAGTTGACTGAACTGTAAAATGTAAAACAGCTAATTTTGGCAGCTAAAACTTTAGCCGTCTATCGCTGCTGGGATGGCGACTACACCATCGCTTAGTGGTAGAGCATCGCTGGCCATACACGACGGTTCATTGGCATCCCCTGTTCTTTTCTCTTTCTCTCTCTCTTTCTCTCTCTCTCTCTCTCTCTCTCTCTCTCTCTCTCTCTCTCTCCTCTGTACACAGAACAAGAAGGCAGCACAAGGCTAGTTGGTTGCAACTCTGAGTGTCCATGCTATGCGACCATCAGGCAACATGCAGATGCTGTTGGCCACTCCAGTTTTTATGCCAGGAGAAATATTAGTGGTTTTGTGGTGTGGTGCTATGCTTTGTGTGTTGGGTTGGTAGTACTAGCAAGCAGTGTGAAAAAACCCTGTGTGCATGTATGTGAGCCCTGTGTTCGTTTCAGGGCTAGCAGTGCAGTGCTCCTCTGTATACTAGTATCCTATTGAAGCATTCCACTACTTGTCATCCACCCCATACCTTACCAATACCAGGTGATGTCCCACCCAGTGGTGTATACTAGTTACTACTCACCTTCTGGGTTTTGCTGTACATTGCGTTGCTCATATTCTTTGCTACCTGGGTCTGCATTAATTGTACCTGATGCGCCAGCTCTCAGTGTGCAAGCATCACTTTACACCAATGCACCTTTTTCTTTCTTTCAAAATACTGATGTATCCGGGTTTTCGCAGCACATGGAATACATGCATTCGGCTTTTTCTGCTGCAAGCAACATAGTGCGGCCATGTTCAGTGTTATGTGCTGATCATCTGCGGTTGATCCACCTATTATTGTGTTTCATTTTTATATACAAAATATCTTAACAGTACAGCCATTTGGACATGAAGATACCATCACTATACACAAACGTCACTGACAATGCAATCTTGAGTGACAAAGACACAACTGTATTATTCAGATTCAACCTTCAAAATTTTAACCGCCGCAATATCTCACAAAGTCTTGAGATAGCCTGCAACTGGCTGTCTGCGCAGTGCCTGCTCAAAAATGGTGCACTCCAGCAGGAGTCTCAGATCACAAATGATCACAAATGATCCTGTTGAAAAAGTTGCCGTCGGTTCTGATTCAGGAGAGTCGGTCAGGAAACTGGGAACAGACATTTTGTTATGGTATGACTACGAGTTCCATTCAGAAAGTGGACCCTGGCTGCCGTTTATCCATGGGTGCTGCTGTTGCCAATTGATGGACCAACACGGACCAGTCCATTCTTTAGATCTTCAATCAATCATGTGAAAGACGTTCGGAAACTTTGCTCTGCTATTAAGGGTCGTCCATAATTATCGAACTTTTTTCACGAAACGAATTAATTTCGTTATGGGGTGGGAGGGGGTTGACCAATTTCGTTTCAGAAAAGTTCGATACATGTACATGGCCATAGGAGCAGTGACACACTTGCGACTTTTGTTGTATATGCATGTACCCGGTATATGTCAACAATTTTTACGTTCTGAGGGGGAGGGAGGGAGGGGTTGGGTCTAAACTAAAATAATTGGTTTGGTGAAAAAAGTTCGATATTTACGGACGGCCCCTTATCTTGTTGCTTGCTCTAGGCTAGCGTTCAACACAAGTGCCCCCATGTGACTGGAAGAATCTTTTGTATTATTATAAAAAAAAATGAAAGATACAAGTAGAAGTTATGAATACCTGTCAAATGAGCTTCGAATTCTGTGCAAATATTCCATAAAATCATAGACAAAATTCAATAATAGAAAATCTCAAGCTCTGCCGAACTCACCTACAGGGGCCGAAAATTTTACTTGGTGTAGCATGTTGACGAACACAACTGTAATGCTAGTCTTCTATCAACCTATAAGTCGCGTGGGCTAAATAAAAAGCAAGCTACTAAATTGCTAAAAACCACTCTTCTGAGTTTGTGTGTCAGAATTAGTCCTGGGAAACACGATCATTGCACTGAGCTCAACATTTCCTAGGAGAGAGCTGCCAGCAACTCTCACCTTTGAGAAAAACAGTACAACACTCGGTTAATATAATCAGGGGCCGGCACAAAACAGTAAAATAGTCTGTTCAAACCTGAACATCACAAGTCTAGAAATGTACCTTTCTCAACTACTAGCTAGAGAATCACGCTGCTTTTCCCGTTGTCGCGTTATACATTTCTCAATGGCATCCATCCAGTCCTCGCGTTCATCAGAGTTGGCAGCCTGCAGGAAGAACTCTATCCCATTAGCAGTGGCAACCGTGAAGACTGGGCCAGTTTGCAAGGAACGTCGAAAAGAAGATGTGGATGCACGTCGGTCATCCAGAATGCTCACACTAGCTCCCTTCAGGGGAATCCGGCCAATCGGATCGCTTTGCGGCTTTGATGCACGGTAGTAGTACATGCCGTCTGCCATCAGCACAAACCGACGAGCTTTCCAGTTTTTCCTTTTGTGACCTCGCTTTGACAAAATGCCTTGCTTTATTTCGAACCGAACAAAACCTGGAGAAACTTGACGGTTATTTAGGCCGAGTGCAGCCAGATCCGCTTCCACTGACTCGTCCGCCTCATCCTCACTTGAATCCTCACTATCTGAACTCATTGCCATAGGTGAGAGACTCTTGACAGGAGAGCAAGGATCAAATGGTAACGTACCCCCACGGTTGGTAACATGCAAGGCCACAAACCGATACAGCGCATCACTTGAGTCCAGAAACTCTTCTGCATCAACCAGTAAGCCATCCATAGGCTGTATTTGTCCACCATTCAACAGGGACAAGCCAATGGCACATGCACCTTCACGAGATTCGGCAAAGGACCATTCCATGAGCCAGTCGACCATCTGAATTCCACAGAAACACAAGTGATACACCTTCCCTGATGGTAAAATATGTGTATCCAGCTTGATGCCTGCGTTCATATCCTGCATGGCCTCCATGAGCTCTGTGGAGCTGGCACCACCTGCCGTGTGTTCCAAGTGTTGTGATACACTGATGTGCCGTTGTTTCACACTCACATGCCTTCGCAATGCTGTCCGGGACTGCGCTGCCTCAGCTATTGCCGTCGTCCAACCTTCCACATCAGCGCTGCTCGCTGCCTCCAGAAAGTACGAGCGGCCCGCGGGAGTTTTCAACTCGAAACGATGTGGGTGACGAACAGTCTCATCCGTAGGCCGATTTACCGAGCATCCTTCGAGCATTATCGTACTTATCGGTGATGCATCGGAGCGCTGCTTGTAATAGCTCAAGCTGTCCCGCCGTAGTTTGAACCAGCGCGTTCTCCAATTGGTGCGGACATGGCCCTTCTTCACCAAGAAGCCTTCCTTGAGTATTCTACCAAACTCACGGTCTTTCGAGCTCATCACATCAGTTCAAACGCCACACATGAACATGAGCTGACTATGTCGATCCTGGATCGATTGAGCCCAAAATAAATTTACCAATGATTCAAAGTTTAGTTCAGCGACACGTACAGGTGCATGACTGAGCCTGTTGTAGCTAGTCAAGGATCTGCTCTCATTCCCATTTTGCTTCTGCCAGTTCTGGAGACCGCTTTTATGGTTTGCGTAGGACAGGAACACTTCACAAGTCTTCAGCCGGTGCGGAGAAGAAGACAGAAACGGCCTCACAGTCACACAATCTGATCTCTCTACGAGTCTGCTGTTGCAAGAAGCCCATGCAGCCGGAGCCCAAACATAATAATCTTGACCAAGACTATCAACATGATCAACACAGACAGTCAACCTGGTCGCTGCCACTGCCGGTGCAGCAACGGACAACCCTACACAGCTAAGCCTGTGTAGCCTACGGAGTAGAACTATCTCTACAGTCTAGTCACAGTAGCAGTACAGTCATCATGGTCATGACTTGTACAACACTCAAAAGTCGATCAAGCCTGGCCTTGCGTGACCATGGTGACAGCGATAGCAAGAGTACCCCCGCCCCCCCCCCCCCCGGCCGGGGGGGTTCTCAGAACTACAGTCAGTACGAGTACAACTACTAACTAGTAGTACTAGTAGTAGATCTACGAGGCAAGTATTTCTTAAGTAGATCTACGAGTACGAGTAGACCTGTACCACTGCACCGTTTTTTGTGTGTGTAGATCTACATGACTGACATGGCATTTTACAGTTCACGCCCTAGATCCAACGGCACTCGTACCCCAAACCCAAAATACCGTCGGTTTGGTACCGTATGGTTTGGTACCGGTACCGTATACATGTACATGGTATACCGTTTCGACGATAGAAAGCTCTTTTTAGCGGGAGAACGAAACGGTAAGATTCCAACTACAGTAGGGTTACCTCATACAGTCAAATCTGCCGTTAGCGACCTCTGCTGTAGGCGACCATCTACCGTTAGCGACCGATTTTTAGTGCACCGACGGTTTCACATACAAACTGATCTGTCCAGAGCGACCATCTGCTGTGCGCGACCAGCGACCGCGATTTCATGCACGATGGCTGCATTCAAATCTGCTGCAAGCGACCGCGAACCAGGTTCAGTCAGGTGCGAAACTGTACTTGCCTGTGCGCTGTCAACTGCAAGGTGTGAAAAAGCGCTGTCTTGCAAGTGCGATCGACTGGCCCTGGCCTGTACTGAGGCTGCGCTGTAGCTCTCAAGATTAGCCCTGGTATGTGCACTATTCTTGGGTTTGTGCACGCTTGTGGCTCAATGTAGCTGAACCATCGGACCTTATTCGTCAGCTTGGATCACGTGATCCATCCAGCTGCCGCGTGCGGCAAACAGCCCAAATAGCGCTAACTCTGGCCTGCGAGCGTTTGCTGCGACAAGCGCGCTAGCGCTCGTGACATACACAAACGCGCTAGCCAGAATGCTTTGACTTTGATGGCTTTCAGCTTCTATTTTTTGAAAAGTAGCGCGCTCAGACCAGCTCGCTCACTCTTTTCCTCTTCCATTTTTTAGGGCAATTGTTTTGTTTGATAGACGAAGCTTAGGGTCTCTTTGGGTTTGCAACCCTTACCCTCCTGGAAAAAATCATAGTTGCTAGACTGCGACACTTCAGACCAGGTACTATTAGAGCCGCTAATGGACGACGAGCTATTTTCCGCTATCCGGAGCTCAAGCATTTGAGCCGCTAAATGGACGAGACTCCTGGGGTAAAGGATGCAGAGAATGAGGAGAAAACACTCGTATGGAGCAGGGAGTAGGTATTGTACTACTTCCTGGTATGGAGCACTGAGAAGCGGTAAGTCTTAGGGCAATTCTTAGCCAGTAATTACTTTCTCGCCATAATTATGTTCTCGTTTTTCGTGTCTTCTGTAATGCCAGTACACTAGCAGTACGACTACACTGTAGGCGAGAGTCCATGAACCAGAGTGTGCAGCTCTCCATCTATGCAGCATAAACAAATTAATGACAAATTTCCTTTGCCTAAGGGCTGGGTTCCACTGCCGCTCCGCCGCACATCATCCACGGCATGAAACGTCATCATTACGAGCTGGTCCAGCGAGGCCGCGGCTCATCACCAGCTTTCGCTTCGCTGCTTGATACAAAAAAATGCAAGCCGCGGTCACGGCTTGCATTGTTTCCCGCACTTAATTGTTTTATTCGGGGGAATTTTAATTCGTGGCACAGGCCAGAACACGAGGATTTTTTTTGGATTTCACGCGCGCGCAGGCAGGCTAAATGTCATAAAAAAAACGTCGAGCACGATCGCGGTACCGTGAATGGCGAGTGTCACTGGAACCGCGCCGCTCTGCTGCATGCAGCCAAGTACCGTGGAGCAGCGGAGCTGCGGAGCCGCAGTGGAACCCGGCCCTAACCAAACTTATAGCAATTTGAAAATGTTTGACAATTTTTCATAAAAAACTTGACAACATTGTTCTTCTGTAGAGTGCCGCTGGCAACTCCATCGATGAACTCCATCAATGAGCGCAGGGATAAAGTTTAGAAACCCTTCGAGCGAGAACGTGTTTTCAAAAAGGAAGCACAAATATGCCGCGTAACTCCCCCTCTAGTACTGTATGGCCCCATCAAAGCCACTCGCTGACTACTTACCAGTAAAATGGGATTGGACGGTTGTCAGATTAGCTGACATGTTTTCTGCCAACACAACCATAAGCAGTTGTCAACTCTCAAGACTAAAAGAGCTTGCGAAGAAAGTGAGAAACCTTGGCTATGAAAGCACATGAAGCGTCAGAACATAATCGAGCAAACTTGGACCTAGATTACCAGTGTCTGCTCCAGAGCCGGGTCAGTGGCCCTGTTTGTGAGTACTTGGACCTTTTGGAAAAAGAACACTGGGTTACCTGTGACCCGGTCGGAAGTCCTGTCGAGTACTATACTTTTTTATACCGTTCGAGGGTATACCGCCACTGACAGGCTGCATACGCGTGCAGATGCGTGCGGCCAGAGTGCCCAGTGCGAGTACGTTCATACATGTACATGTACAATCATGTACATCAGGAAGTCGAAAGTAAGTTTACGACTCCCTGACACACAGTAGCCGCACTTGAACGCATCTGGCTCTGGCCCAGTGTTGCAGGAATTGTGCCAGGTAGACGTGTACCCGGTTTGTGTTAAATCTTAGAGCAGGTACTGCATACCCTATCATATCTGTGTACATGGGTAGACAGAGTCAGTGTTGTTGCGTCCCACTCAGCCGCGTGACCCTTCTGGTTCATTTCGGCACCAGCACTCTTTGCGTATGCAGAGTTGAGTAGAGTGCAAGTTCGGACCACAAGTACACTGCAGCGGCTAGTAGCAAACCTAACCTGTGCCGTGATGCCCGGCACGTGTGTGCATCTACTTCATCCCTGAGTAACACACCTGGTATATTGTGCACAATAGGGCACAGTAAATAATCAGCATGCATCGCAGTTTTCTGCAACATATTCCTGAAGTCACTTTACACCTCAGAAGAATTGCGTCGCTGACTGGAATTCGATACCGGTTTAGTTTCTCTCTGGGTCATTATCAATCATAGAAAACCCGTCATACAATAGGTTCAAGCTAAAGTACCGTATCACCATGGTAATTCCTGGAAATTCGGTGTGTTTTCTGCCTTTTGTTAAGGGTTAAACAAGCAGCAATGTGCAACAGAAATTACCATGGTGATACAGTAGATTACCGTGTGAAGCGGTGTGAGATGCAGCAAAGGTGAGCCTGTTACTGCGAGTCTATGCCCTAAACAATAAACTTTGCCGTGGGATGATTATCCTTGGGCTGCACACTCTGCACACTTATTGCTAGGTATATCATTGGTCTTGTTCGAATCGTCCATTACGTTTGCAGCTGTTCAAACTTGTTTTGTTGTTTAATATTTTATTGATTTATTTATTCTACTTGCCTTTCCTATCTTCTTGTGTTTAGCATTAGGCGATTTGATCGCAGGACAAGAGAGGAGCTGATGGACGATCTCTCCAGTGTCCCTCTTGGTTCGGAGCAGCGCCGAGTGCTGACGTTGGGACTTGGGTAAGGATGAGTGTTCCCTCATGTTTACAAGTTATCCGTTTTGTCCAACACTAACGGTTATATGCAGAATACTGCTGAGTCAAAAATGTGCAACAATTAGCACAAAAACTGACTGATGAGATCATGACATTCAACGACCTGATGCTTAGCTGCATCACGTTTATATCCGTTAGTGTTGGACAAAACGGATAACTCGTAAACTGATGGTCCTCTTTTTCAATTTTAATCCTTGGCTCTCCATCCGAGTTCCCTCCTGTGTGTAGCTATTATTATTTTTTTGGTGACAGTCAATTTTTTCTTCAGACTTTTCCCGTTTGTGTCTTTCCCTCAAACTAGTCAATATTTTTATTTACTTACTTGGTCCGCGTCAGCGATATTGTCGCTTATCTTTGAGCTTTGTTTATATGTCGCCAATCCTTACTTGGCAGCCCATTTCATCCCAATTTTGGTTAGCAAGTTAGTTTGCTAGTACCTGAAAGGTCTAGCTAGAGTTCGAGTGGATTTCGAGAGCGACAGGTGGGTGATTCTGATTGATACAGCGCCGCATCAAAATAGATTATCTTGTTACGCTGTGCAGGCAAGAGCAGCGCAAGCCACAAGAAAGTAATCGGCTACTCGGAATCAGCTCCATTTTGCTGAACGGCCGAGGTCGCTCACCTCAGGGATCGCTCATCAAGGTGAGATCGCAGCTTCCTTACCTCCAGCTCAACGCTCGGAGTATCCAGCGCGTTGGGGAGATTTGCAAGTACGACTCGTACTGTACGCGTCGTCGTCGTTCAAAATAAAATCTTGCAAAGAACGGCGTCTGATTTGAACCACACAGGCTGTCGTGCTGCCCACGCGAAGTCCTATAGAGAAGGGGACCGTCACGATCGACTTCTCTTTAGAAAATAGCCAGGCAGCGGAGAGGAAGAAAGATGAGCTTGCAAAAGCAAGAGAGTCGATCCCGAGCAAAAATATTTGTCGCCAGCGCCGAGAGCAGTGACGAGGAGGACCGAAAAAAGTAGGAACCCTTCCTTGGACAATAAATTCCTCGCAGCTAGTTGTCATTCTATACCTTACCGTCCATCGTACCAAGTTTTATCATGTCAAGTGCACGCGTTCATGTCCAAAGTCTAAGTTCAAATTGTCGAAAGATAAGCGACAATATCGCTGACGCGGACCAAGTATTTTTTTGCCCAGGGTCTACATTCTACCTTTATTTTACTTAGACTAGGGTTAGCTGTCCGTTTACCAGTACTCATCCACACATCACTGCTGTTTGCGCCTGGCCACTCAGTAAGATGGCGGCAATCACGTCACGTGCAAAAACTCTTCGAGTTTCCATAGTAATACACATGGCGCGTGTGCACGCGTACGCAAACAATCATGTGTGCACCAAAAGCGGACCCACAAAAATTAAATTTATTTGAAAATCAACTAACAAACAACATGTTTGGGATATCGTTTGAGCAAGGAACTTACCTGAAACGGTCCTCAATTGGCCTTCCGCTTGCGCTTGGCCCTTTGAGGGACAAGTTTGGCGTGCTGAGGAAGCGTGGAGGAAAGGTGAGCCTTCAAGACAGTCCGTAGCTTGTCGACATCGTTCACGACGCCTCCGTGTCGCTTGCGAAGGTCGTTGAACTCGGCGTGAATACTTTCACCTCCCTGCTCAGCTAGTAGGCCCAGGCCAACTCTGAATCTTGCCAAGGCGTCAGGCAGATGGCATTCCAGCAAATGAAGCTTAGGCGTTACATGGCCAAGTTTTCTGGTGACGACCTCTTGCCGTGCTGTGGAGAGGAAGGTAGCGCAATCACTCTCGAACAGCTGAATATCTTCTGCTGACATTGTTGCGCAGGACGAGTATCTTCGGCGGCAGTGAGAGAACTGAGTGAGCAGGTCATTATACCGCTTTGCCACTACTCTGGCCTGGTCGAGAACGGATGGAGGCGCTGCTCTCTCTGTGGTGGAGGCGACAATCAGAGGCGCATTTGACAAAGCAGCAACCACTGGTGGCTGCAGGGCATGGTGAATATGATTGCCGATAAAGGCACCACCATGGTACCGCTGGCGACAAATATTGTACTCCTGCAGAGTTCTGTCCAGTGAGGCCTCACATGGACCATGCAGAATACTGCGGCTCTGGAGCTGGTCAGACAGAGCCTTCACTTCATCCTGGAGAGAGCTGATGGCGCTTGTGGTGGTGTGCTGCTTCGCCTGAATTCCTGCTGTGGCCGCTTCAAGCTGTGGGGCAGTCAGGTTGGAAGCATGGATCGCAAGCCATTCGAGCTGCTCCTGTAGACTGTCAGCTGCTGTGCGCTCGTTCTGAAGATCCAATTGCTTCTGGCGAAGGCTCTCGTGCATCTCTGTTGTGACAGTGTACGCTCGGCTATCGGTGCCAACTGCTGTACTGGATGATGCAAGGGCAACGTCCAGCATCTGGCAGTCCTTGGTCATGGCATCGAATATCCAAGCGAATATTCCCAGATCCAAATGAAGAACGGGAATAATCACATTGTCCAGGGACACAGGCAAGATCGGTGGCCGGATGCAGTTGTTGTGCTTCTTAGCGTCCGCTAATTTTGCACCAGCTGCAACAAAGGCAGCGTTGTCTGTGCACAACAAATCGAGACTGCGCGGTGCTCCGCTACACCCAGGTAGCTGTATCTCTTTCCGCATAGCAGTGCAGTGCAGGCAAGGGTGGGTTCCACTCGACCCTGACAAGCCGTACAACGTGGTCTGCAGTTCGTAATCTCCGAACAACAAGACCCTCACTGACCTGTTACGCCACGTTGTACTGGCCAGCTTCTCGACCTCACTGACGAATGGCTGCAGGGCCGTGCACAGATTTGCTGCCGTATCTTTAGCAGCAAAGATGATAAACGGAATGATGTGCCGTAGAGCATTGCACTGCTGTACATTAACGATCTGGAACGACATCTTGAAGGACTCGCCACCGTGATCGCCGCCGATTTTGACCCATACCTCATCTTTTGGGATTGCGCCATCATGCCAGTGAAGCTGATCTGTTGCCTCCAGCTGGTTCAAGTAGTGATGGACAGTCCCAACAAGATCAGGAATTGTCACCATTGCATGCAGCTCGACGCTTCCAGATGCTGCTACGAACGGTGTCTTTTCTGCCACAATGGTAAAGGGCAAAAGATCGTCGAGCTGTTTCCGCATTACCCGCTCTGACTCGAGATACAGGCCAAAGTCCTTCAGCCATACTTTCAATTTCCGGAGCTGATTCCATGGCATGTGTAGGTTGGCTTTCAATGCTAGCGTTGTGCCTGTCCCAGGTGTTTTTGGCATGACACCAGCCTCAATAAGAACAGCTTTACGCTCTTCCTCCTTTAGCCGGCTTAATGTGGCAGCTTGCTGGACAACTGCACCGGCGAAACTCCCTGCTACGCGCTGGCTGGTTTTTTCAAGCTCAGCACAGCGTCGCCGCACAGTCCTGGCTGATGCATTGTTGGACAGTACAGCTGCAACTGTTGTTCGTTGCCATGTCTGCGATGGACCTCGGCTCCTCAACTGAAGTACGCCAGCATCCGCCTTGCTCTTCACTAGATGGCTGGTGAGACTGTCTGACACGTTGCCTCGGAGCTTTGACGGCGAAGCAGTGAGCACATCGCTGACAGCGGTGGACGGGCCGACTGTTTGCTTACCAGTGTTCTCGCAGTTCTGCACATGGCTGGCAAGTTGAGCAAGTGGCACTGTTGCCGGGCAACCAATCAGCGCTCCAGCATAATTGTCGCACCTGACCACTAGTTCGGCAAGGCAGCCCTGCAAGATCGGATTGGGCGTGCTGAGATTCGACACGGAGAGCTGTGCATTGCAACCAGGGCATGTTGTATCAGAAGCCAGCCACTCCCACACACATGCGGAACAAAAGCTCTTTCTACAGCAGTCTGCTTCCACGGCTCTCTCTAGCACATTGCTGCATAGTGTACATTGTAATATAGCTTGGCATCCGATGAATCTATCTGTGCTCAGACTCTTGTTGGCTGCATAGCTTGGTGTTGCTACATCATACAATTTCTGTAAACATGTACTCTGACTCTCCGAGTTGATCCCTGTTGTCTGAGACCGTGTCTGGTGGGTGCCTGTGTGCGTAGACGTGCACGTGGATGTAACGGCTGCCGCTGTACGGGCAGGTGGCTTTGTTGTTCTCTTTTTCTTAGCCGGACGACCACCTTTGGCGGCTTGCTCAATGGTAGTGCATACCCTGCATACTGTGGTACCATCCTCATGCACATGATCATGGGGAAGCCAGCTACTTGGCTCGGCACATCCTCCACCACAACGTGTATACTCTGACTTGCTCAAGGCATAATTCACAGCCTTGTAGCATGTACTGCAAATCTGTGTAGGGTGCAGGTGTGGTTGGTCCTGTGTGATATCCACTTCAAAACATTTCAGAATACCCTCGGCATTCTCAGAAACAGAATACGTAGTTTTCTGCTTCTGCTTGGCTAGCGGAACACCGCCGACGCGACACAAAAGACCCAGTAATCGAACATGACGATCCATTCTATAGATCTACACGTAAAAACGGAAAAACAGCCAAAAAAGCGCAGGCTTCGTTTCGGTAGTTTAGGTTTCGTTCGGATCGAGTGAGGTGGCAATCGATCGAGAAAGACCTGAGGTCCGACGAGAAACTCACCAAACATGAAAAATAACTTCTGGAACACGAAGGGAAGGGTCTATCAAGAACGGAGATGCTACTCAATCGTGATGACGAGCGACATGAAGTTGTTTCAACAGATCGTGTCAGAACTCAGCTCAACCTTCACCGATCGTCTTCAAATTTTCTGGTGTGGTCTATCATGTTGTAGTCACTCACTGTATGTGGTTCTTGTTCTTCTTTCAAGCGTAGAACAGTCCTAGAAACGCAAGAATGTGACCCGTGTCAGCGAAAAATTGTTTCTGTGAAAATCAAAAATTCAAATTTCCAGGGAGAGTGCGTACGCTCGTACCCAGGACACTGTGGCCAGGATCAGGTCTATGATAACAGCAGTGACATATGTGCACATAGGATCTACACAGAACTCTATCAGTAGATATTTTGTGTATAGGAGGTTGTCTATCCACCGAGATAGCACTATATACTCCCATTCTGTGTGTTCTCTGGTAGCTATGTCCCTTGGAGACTATACGGTGCCAGTGTGGTGACCGAGATCAGGAGTGTCTGCACTGGCATCGTCAACTTTGCCTACTGCTACGTGCTCCCCAGTGCTCCATCTGTGTCCTGTAATTTGTTTGGGGAGGGGGGGGGGGCAATACCGGTACTTCAGGTGCAGGGGGCAAGGGGGGAATGGGGTGGGGGGACATCATGCCCCCAATGAACCTCTCCAGGCGTTGTTCTGGAGTAGACTAACCATAGGCGGAGTGTACACATGCAGCACATAGTTTGGGAGCTAGAACGCAATCGGACTCAGGCATATTCAAAGGCAGTCTATTGTGATAGTAGTCCTGGACTGATCTCACTATGATGATATAGGTCGTGCCCAGCATCACAATGCCAAACATTATAAATGACTGTTTTTTTTGCCTGAGGGGCTAGATGAGCATGCGGCTAGACTGCCGATGGCAACCAACAGGCTCAAGGCTGTGTTGAGACTTCGTGTGAGCGACCCGAGTCAATTGTTTACTCACCATGACTAGGCATCGCATTGAGCATCGTATGCCCACTAATATAATATATTATGTCACTGTTCTTAGTCGCACCGGGGGCGCATGCCCGTTTTCAGGAGACTTCTCAAAACACATAAGCCCTGGGTCCTGAAGGTTAGGCCTATTGTTAATCTAAATAGTCCTGGCTACTATCCCGCTGAGTTCACTGACTTTCTACTGAACCCGTATGTATGTGAGGAAAGTACTGTTCTGACCTCAACTGCGGATTTCATCAACTTGGTAGAAGGTTTGCCTGTGCGGGACGATCATTTATAATTGAGCATAGATGTGACCAGCCTTTACTACACCAACATCCCCAACGAGCTCGGTTGTCGTGGTATATCACACACAGATGTACAAGGTGGATGCCCCTCGCCCTTCGTACATGGTTATTACAAGCAGTGACTTCCTTGATGTCAGTCATTCGGAAGAAAAATGAGTTTGTGTATGGTAACGATGTGTTTCGGCAGATCCAAGGCCAGGGACTGCCATGGGTTCGCCTGCAGCAGTGGTCTATGCCGACATTGTTATGCTGTATTTGGAGAAGCAGTACGTTTTGCCGATCTTAGAGGGGGAGGGTTTAGAGGTTCAGGTTTATAGACGCTTTATCATTGCATGGTTGCGAAGGTCAAGCTCAGCGCACTTTAGATAGGATTAATAAGTGTTCGGCCCTCAAGTTTTCTCATGAACTGGCACATGATGGCATTGATTTCCTGGACACCACAGTTTTCCGTAGTAAGGGATACATGGCGGTGAAGCCTCATTTCAAGTTCACCAATCGTTTCCTGTATCTGCTTGTCGGTAGTAACCACCCCTGTAGTATGGGCAAAGGTGTGTTCACTGGGGAGTTGATCCGTATCCGTCGGTCTTCGACCCTTGACCACCACTACGAAGCTGCTGCCGAGCGGCCGAAGCAGGCTTTCCGGGCCCGTGTATACAAGCGCTCCATCTTTCATCTTTCAGACCCGTACACTAGGAATGGATGCGCAGGGAAGGTATGTTGGTCAAATTGGCATGGGTTTGGGTTATTTCTGTAGTTGTATACAGTGCTCCTCATTGTATTTACCTGAGCCCGGCCTGCTGTCCTTCGCCCGTTGGTCTTGAGGTCCAGGTGTAATACCCCTACCATACAGTCCGGTGGCCAGCGCGGTTGTTGTTACACGGTGGAACATCGGCAAGAGGTTGCTTGCCCGTTTGCCTCATGCTCAGTGTCCTCAGGGAGTTAGTATTTTCCTCCTGTTTGGATTTTGCAGTGTCTATGGTGTCGGTAATTGAGTTTTTGTTCTGTATGCTTTTCTGTGGTGTGTGGCTGTTGTTCACACATCTTTATTTGACTTGCTTCCTGGTGTGGTGTACCTTTTTGTTTTATATTGGTGTTGGTCTGGCTGTAGAGTTCTAGCATCCGTAGCTGCCTCAGGGGGTGCCACTTCTCCCATCAGCGTCGACTAGTCCGCCGGTACGTGGTGCTATATTACGTTTAGTTGTCTGTTCCATCCTGTACGGGCTGTGTCCTGCTGACCACACAGTCTGGGTCTCCATACTTTGCATGTTCTCATCGTGTGTAGTGTTCACACGTACATATATGGACTGTCACACCCATATGTTGTACATGTGGCTGCACGTGTTGTCTCTTTGTCGTACCTGCTGCTGTATTTGTGTTTCTGTGATGCTGACTCGTACATGCTGCTGCGCTGCTTTGTTGTATTGCTGACACGTGCACCTTTTTGTGCTGATATGATATCGAGTACGCCACTTTTTGTGCTGATGAGGGCACCACTTTCCGATATCATGTTTCCTTTCGCCATGTCAGTTGTCAGTTCTCCCGTCGTCTCCTGAAGTGTAGTAATGAATAGCTCTCTCTCTAGCTCTAGAGAAAAACCACTTGACTAGTCCGTTTGATGTGTGGCGTGGCGAGGGTATAGTAGAGGCAGCTCGTTCTCCAACCGAGACGACATTTGGCGCCCAACGTGGGGCTCAAACCCACGACCCTGAGATTAAGAGTTTCATGCTCTACCGACACATATATGCACGCGGCACCGTTTGTGCTCCTATCCATTTACATATGCTGCTTTCCACACCTGTGCTGACAGTCGGTACGCACCGACTCTGTACGCATGCACGCACACCATTACATTCTGTTGGCATCATATTAGTGAGGTTTTGCATTCCAAAATTCGGCAAAAGATTCGGCACGCGGGAGCGAGGTCGAAAATGCGCACGAAGATGCGGCATGTTTGTTCGGAAAAAGCTCACTTTGCCGAACATATTTTTCGGATGAATTTTCTTGTGGAAGAGCGCTAGCGCGTGATTTATTCAAAGAGGTTTCTTATCTTGGCATGGCTTCGCAGGCGTCTTTGACGACATCAGCATCGTCAGCTACCTCTGATTGCTCCTCTCCACTGCCTGTCTACTCTCTTTCGCCTGGAGTGTCCTCACCGTCATCTGTGTGGCTGAAAAGACTATGGCGATACCCATAAAATTTGACTTGGCCATGGAGTTGGTTTTTCTGAGGCGACTGAGGCAGGTTTGGCCCTCGACTCTTTGGGCGCGATCAAAGTTTGTCGGAATCAGCAAGAAAAGGAGCACGGGACAGGACATTGCTGATGCTGGGGCTCACGAAATCAAAACACATCATTTTCGACTTGCAAAACAAACTTCGGTGCGAAAATTCGACATTTTGATGTTCGACAAATTACCAAAGAACGCCAAGCCGAAATTCGGAATGCAAAACCTCACTATTGCGGAGCTTTCCGGAGCTCCGAGTTAGTTGTTGTTTGGAATACAGCAAGAGAACAACATTACATTGGCGCTGCGAGCAAACGCCTGATCCTCGCCATGTCCCTACTGTCACTACCGCCTCCGGAGCCATTCCCGATCTACAGCAGTCTCTACGATGCTGCTGCCCATTTTCCTGCCTGGGAACGGTGTTTCCAACTCTATGTCGCAGCAGCCGGCATCTCGGATGACACTCGCCAGAGAGACACTTTCCAGTAAGTGGCCGGCAAGGACATCCAGCAGCTCGTCCCTACGTTAGCCAACACTGGCAACGATCTCGACGGCCTCATAACCGCCGCCGCCGACTACTTTCAGTCGAAGCAGAGCCCCAGCATGGCCCGCTTCCACTTCCGGCAGGTCACCCAGCAGCCTGGCGAAACATTAGACACGTTTTATACTCGTTTGCTGGCATCGGCAATGACCTGCAGCTTCGCCGACGATGCCCAGAAGAACGTGGCTCTCTGTGATCAAATTGTGGCAGGATGCACGTCCGATCCACTCCGCAGAAAACTGCTGGAGACTGGGTCCCTTGATCTCGCCAAGGCGCTCAAGGCCGCCAGAGCATTTGAAGCGTCAGTGGAACAGACGACGGCGTTCCGGCGCACACAAGACTCGACCAATGCCCTCCGTCATCAGCCACCGTTCTACAAAAGGACACAGCCGCCTCCTGCTACTGTTTCAACTCCGTCGCGTCGACCGATGCAGTCTTCGCCACATCCAGCTGCAAACTCGTACCACCAGCCACCTGCCCCAGTCGCCACTCGCGCTCCAGGCCGGCGGGAATCCAGCACATCGCTCTGCTACCGCTGTGGAGAGCCAGGCCACCCTGAGTCACGTCGCTACGCAGTTTTGCACTGTAAACGTCTGCCCATGGGCGTATCGTCCGCATCCGAGATCCTACAGCGCACACTGGACGCCATGGCTCGCTGGCCTCGACGGTGTGAAGAACGTCCACGACAACATCTTCAACTTTGGTAAGAGCGTCGAAGAGCACAACCGACGACTCGCCGCCTGCCTCCAGCGGCTCCAAGATCACAACGTTACACTCAACCGAGCCAAATGTCACAAATGTCACATCCTCAAGCCTCGGCTCAAGTTCATGGCTAGCGTCTACTCCGACAAGGGCATCCGCGCCTCTCCCAGCCACCAGCAGTCTGTGGCTACATTCTCTACGCCATCTTGCGTCAGCGACATACAGAGTTTCCTGGGTCTCACCAACTTCCTCCGCCGTTACATTCGTAACATGGCCGATCTCACCACGCCACTCCCTGCTCTCACTAAGAAAGGTACTGTTTGGCGTTGAACTGATGTTGAGCAGCAATCGTTTGATGCACTGAAGAAGGCCATCGCCGAAGACTGCATGCTGCAATACTTTGACCGCAACACATCACTGTATGTCGACGCACCGGCCTCGGCGCAATCCTGTGTCCACGCCAAGACAACGGCCACGATGCACCTGTAGCATTCGCCAGCCGTGCACTCTCCGGCGTCGAGCAGCAATATTCTCAAACTGAACGGGAAGCATTGGGTGTCAAGTTTGGCTGCCTTCGCTTTCACCACGACTTGACAAGGTGATCCACAGTTCACCGTTGTCACCGACCACAAGCCGCTCCTGCAACTCAAGGCCGTCGGATCGAGACCTCCACCATGAATTGAGCGCATGGTCCTCCGCCTGCAGGATCTCAGCTTCCAGCTCCAGTACAAGCCTGGCCCAGAAAACCCGGCCGACGTCGTCAGTCGCAATCCGCAGCCTCATCCCGACTTGCCAAACATCGGCGCACAGGAAGACACTGCGTACATACATGCCCTAGCTACAGCAGCTAAGCCGAATGCGTTGGCTCTGAAGGAGATTGCGGACGCCACCACCGCAGACACCACACTGCAAGCCATCCTTTCCTCTCTGCAATCTGGCCGCTGGGATTCCAGCCACACCACGGTCCGCCCGTACTTTGCCCTCCGCCATGAACTGTCTGAGAGTGACGGTCTACTACTCCGCAACGACCGTCTCGTCATTCCCACGGCCCTCCAACGGCTTACCCTGCAGCTTACACATGCGGGCCACCAAGATATTGTCCGCACCAAGCAACGGCTCAACAGCAATGTTGGGTGGCCCAACATGGCTACTGAAGCCGAAGCACTCTGCCGGCAATGTATTCCGTGCCAAGCAACTCTCTCAACGACACCGCTACGTCCGGGAGTCCGTGCCCACACCACCGTCCACCAAGCCGTGGCAACGAGTCTTCGTCGATTTGTATGGACCCATGCCAAACGGTCAGCACCTGCTTGCCACTATCGACCAGTTGACTCGCTACCCGGTCATCAACGTGTTCAGCACGACACCCACTACGGCCGGTGTTGTAGCTCTGCGCTCTACATTATCCATGTTCGGCTTGCCCGAAGAGCTAGTCTCGGACAACAGTCCTCAGTTCCGTTCTTCGGCTTTTGCTGATTTCCTCGCGCCACACGCTATCCAGCACCGCCACACCCCTCCTTTGTGGCCACAAGCAAACGGAGCAGTCGAGTGCCTCAACCGTACCATTGGCAAAGTTCTGCGAACTGCCAAACTAGCTGGCGAAGACATCAATGTTGCATTTGACCAATGGCTCCTAGCGTACCGCACCACGCCACACCCTGCCACTCACGAGGCACCGGCAACACTCATGTTTGGTCGCCCCATCCGCGACAGCATACCCTGCATTACGGCAGCCGCACCAGACTTACCTTCAGCTGCCCACCGTGACCAGCAATTCCGCCAATCCCAGTGCGACGCTGCCAATGCCACCCGCCGGTCAAACGCCCCCATCCTCACTCCTGGTCAGCGCGTCTTACGCCGCAATGAGCAGGCACACAAGCTCTCACCACAGTGGGATCCCAACCCCTGGACCGTGGACCAGATCTCTGGGTCTACGGTGACGATCTCCAACTCAGCAACTGGCCAAAGATCGACTCGCCATAATTATGTCGTTCGTCAAGCCCGTAATTGTTGTCACACAGACAGCCCATCACCCACTACCAGCTGAAAGTTCTGCCACCACACCTTACAAAATTACAACAAAATCACATGCAAGAAGTCCTTTCACTTTGACTACTGCTCGTTGCGTGACATCACTCCTCACGAAAGGACTTCCTGGGGATCACAATCCTAAACAGACAAATGTACGAATACCGCAACTGACTCTGTTGTTCTGCACGCCACGATCAACACGACTGCGTGCAAGACACAGCTGATCATCGTCGCTGTACTCTTCCCTGAGCACGTTACCCTGTCGCTGCAGCCTGCGACGGACATTCCATAGTTCCACCAACTTGATGGCTTGATGTTCCCATTGACGTCGACCATGCGGTGTTGCCATTGACGACCTTCAACTTCAGGTCCTTGCCGTGGTCCGCACCATTCAAGAGATGGGCCACATTTGGTGTACTTTCACCCAGTTGGTCACTTATTTTAACCTTGCCGACTGTCCACTGCCGGACTGTTGCTTCAACAACTGGCGGAGAGCACATACGCATATCATCACTCTTCCTTGCAAACATCATTTCCGTCTCCACCACGTCCTTATCAGCCTGATCCATGCCTGACACCCCCAAGGCACTGTCCACTGTGCCGCCGGGCTGGTGGAGCGACGGACCGATTCTCCAGTTACAGTCGTCGTCCACAAGGCTGTTGGAGTGCGCATCCAAGATGTGCTAGAGCTGTTCAGTGTCGTGCAATAGCTATCGCATGAGCTGATTGTTTAGTAACTGGTGGTGTTAGTGGACAGTATAGCGTAACTTGTAGTTCCTTGGTCTTTCTCTTTTGTATAAAGAAACTAGTAAGCTAACGATAAACTAGTTACACTGAGACAATTCGACTGGCACAAATTACAACAAAATCACATGCAAAAAGTCCTTTCACTTTTACTACTGCTCGTTGTGTGCCAACCACCATCATCAGTGTGCGCATTGCGCCTGGTTTGGTGCATGCCTGGTGGAATCTGACATAGCGGCTGATGCAGTGAGCACGTCAGGTAACACCTAACGCATTGAAAATGACTCAACTATGACTTGGTTCGATTGCAAAAAACCTAATGATAGTGGTACCGAAACATTCGGGTAACCGGAGTAAGTGCCAATTGATATTTTTGGCTCCAGTCAGTCAAGTGATTCAATTGCAATAAAATTATATACGTATGGTGGAACTCACTTAGTATGTACCCGGGTAAGACATACACCTGCATAACACGGTCCTCTTTTGTCGCACGGATTTTCCTCCCATAAGCGCATATTCAGATGTGTACGGATACGACTGCTTCCTTCTGTTCATGTGATTCATTGTCGCTGTGTTACTGTATGCAGATCTCACTCAGCTCTGCTCTCCGAGCATGCTGCTTCCAACACGACTTCCCGAAAGGTATGTATGGTGGCTAATAAATAATGCGAGAGTCTTTACGGATTCCAGTGCTCTCATGCCTTTTGCAAGTTCCTTTTGTAAGTCAAATGGAACATGGTTTGTGGTCAATACTTCAGCAGTAGTGGTGCGAGAATATTCGGGTGTCAAATTGCTCGGAATTGATGTATGATAACGGAGAATATACCAACATGTGAATCACTTGGAGATATGGTTTGCCAGGTTCTATTCACACTCACTAGGCTAGACCCTCTCGAGTATTGTACAACAGTTTTGGCCCAGGAGTGGTAAAGGGCACGGGGCAAGCTATGTCGGGACCTGCTGTAAAGTCTGCCATACACGAGCTGTACGTCTTATCGGATGGGATATACCCCTGATATTGCTGATAATGAATGGCCCAGTTTCATTGTACTGCTGTCCGCGATATTATATCCTTAGTGGCATTGTTAACTTCTCATTGCTTGTGGGGACGCATGGATCATACGTCCATCCAACACCTGCCAATCGGAACCCACCGACAACGCTGTCGGTTGGGTTGGACCACAATCGGTTGGTTTTTGAGTCCAAGATGCCACCTAGGTAGCACACAGCATTGCTAATCTGATTTTAAATTAGCTGCGCAAATCCTGGCATACTGCCCGTAAATGCATCTAACTCCCAGGGTACTTATGAGTTTTTAGGTCTATGTGGTACTTGTGTCGCATTGGCAGCCACTGTTCTGTTCTGTATTTTCTGGTCTATGTGTCGTTGAATCTCCACAGAAAATGTGCTCGCGCATTAGAGGGAGGTGAAAGATGCACCTGCAGGAGAATACATGCTTAAGAGAAGGCAGAAACATGCCCGGATCCACCAGAACTAGTGCTGGCAAGTCAACAGAGGCGAGTACTGATAATGTTCCAGATTGTGGTAGGATCACATAAGCAAAATTGACACTGGGAGGCACGGCGGTGGGTCAGCTCATGGCCAGCGCCAGCTCCAGTGGATATCACGTGCATCCAGTTCTAGTACTATAGTATGACTGCTACAAAGTAGTGTGGCCCAAATAGAACTCGGGTCAGGTGCCGAAGAACTGGGGGGTGGGGGCATGTATCAATGAATGGTAATAACTCCGGAAATCATGCTGGTGTATCGAGGGCGTGGGCCAATGAAGTGCTGGATTGATGGTGGACGACTGTACTGCAATCTTGGCTGGTCCCACTATCGCAGAGACAGCACTTCCTGGTGCAACCACCCTATCCTGCAATCTATATAATAATTATTATAAGAGATTTGTGTGAACGATTTTAGCATGATGCAAGTCAACTTATTGTGCTGGGGGCCTGGCTACATGTCACTATAGCTTTTTATAGACTCGATCACCGCATTACGCTGCCTTGCGTTGACTTGATTGAGCACTCTTTTTGGTTAGTGTCAAAGGTATATGTAATATGTATCTGCCTTCGTGCAAAGCTCTCTTTGTGCGTGTCTTGCAGATAGCTCGCTGACTTTGATGCTTTGAGCCATTTTCAAATTGCTTTTTTTGTTCATTTCATATAGACCGTATTGCCATTTGTTTAACCTCCCGCTCTGAGCTCCACTGATGGGACCTAAAAAAGGCTGACACAGCTGTCTGGAGATTGAGCGTCAGTATTATGGATTTAGAATACACGATCTGGGGACAGCACTAGTACTGTCTAGCTGTTTCGTCCTTTGTGGACTCATTAGCGAATCACGGAGAAATAACTCTTAACTAAGGATGAACCTAGCAGCCATGAAAATAGATAAATAATGCCTCCAAGCCAGAATTCAAGGCTACATGTGTAGGCCCGAATGTGCCTTGCCCAAGTGCTGAAACTGATAAGTCATTGAGATACGCATAGAACATCTGGCAAAGGAACTACTAAAGCCCCCACAAGCACGGTATTCTACTTCAACAAGGAAGAATTTTGAAAGCATGCACAGCCCTACATGTATAATGTTGGCATAGGTAGTAAGCCTTGTTTGATAAATTAACATGACAAGGCGGGGGACGCACTGTGTTAAAAAACAGTGCTCCTGATACACTAGTATGTCCTCGGCTTTGTCACATGCTGTCAACCGATCAACACATACAACGTTGCATGCAAAACGGCTGCAGCCTCGAAGTACGGAGTGCTATTTTGGAAAATGCTAGATGTACAGCCTGTACTTATACAGGTGTTCTATCAACTAGTGCCATTATGACAACGGTAGCTGAATGATACATGTACATAAACCCGGGGTCATCATTTCAAGAACCTCTGGGTCTAAGCCCGAAGTAACATTCAACTACATGACTGTATACACCATCATGTATACACCATCTTCGTAGTAACTGAGTCTACCCCCCTCACCCACTACTGCCACTGTGACCACAATTGCGCACAAACAGAGGACCTTAGAGGACCTACTTCTAACTACAGTGCTGGCCAAAGAAATCCAACCTTATGAATAAAATTGCACCGGGCGCTATGCAGCCCTAGTAGTAAACATACTGGACCGGTCTGTGCTCTCGAACGCGCGCTACTTTATTAACGAGGTTGGATTTCTCTGGCCAGCACTGTACAAAATACACACATGCACACACAACACTGCTAGGCTTTCCACCACCACACTAGGTTTTGAAACCGAAGAGTGGCAAAATTCAGGGCCAGACTAGAAAATCTGGGGAGACCTGATGGTTTTTTAAAGCAAAACACAGCCAACACTCTGCAGCCTCACAGTCTCCGGCAGGTTTTTCCGAGCGCACAAAATTAAAAGTTGTTGAGGCACCACGAATACAGTCGGGCGTCACAGAACGTGGGACCCAGGAATGTACGTGTATACCTCTAGGTACACCACAGCCAATAACGTTTTAAAAGTCAATAGACTCGAGTCTCTGCTTTTCTGGAATACAGATTCTGCTACACACGTATTGCTCACTATCCAGTGGGATGTGCATCTAAGAAAGTGGCACAAAAAGTCAAGGAACTAAGCCTAAGGCCAGATTGCTGAAAGGTTTTGTAAAACTGACGAGCCTGACCCCTTGGAAACAACAGCTGTGGATGCGTGGCTCTACTGTAATAAATGTACAGGTACACAAACAATTTGAATGCAGAAATAACAACAACAAACAGGGAGAGGTGTAGGAAAATATACTCGGCCCCTAGTGAATTTGCTTGTGTATTAGCTTGAAAACTTTGGGTACACTTGTTGAGAGACCTAACTGCATGCAGCTAAAATATGGAGTGCCGTTGTCACCGACGACTTTTCCAGTAAAGTTGCGGCTAACATCTTCTCAGGTATTCCCGGGTCTTCGCTAAGGCCGTAAGGGTGGATGATATCATGTGCGTCTTCTATTGCTGATGTCGCTACACTCAATGGTGGTGCTGATGTACTGATTGTGGTGGAAGATATTGAGATGCCGTATGTCTCGAACCTTTTCGCTAGGTCTCCGCGGCCATCGCGCAAGAGGGTCGGGAGCACCACAACTGCAACGCCACAGATCCAAGGATCGATTCTCGGACAAAACATTCTTCAGATTGCCAAAGGTCCCCAGTGCTTGGCAATACTGGCCTGTGCAGCATGAACACACCACACATACGCCCACACACCATGTACCATGTAAACGCCCGTTGCAGGAGAAGCACGCAAATCTGCAAATGAATTGGATGTGCACCCACAGATTTTCTCGTATAGGAACAATAGCTGATCTGAATCTGAATAAAACAGATCAAGACTAGTGCCAGATAACAGTCTAATCCGCACAAGGCAACTGGCGCAGCCATGTGAATCTCGAGCAAAATGGACAAACATGTCCCCATTTATCAGCAAACGGGTGTGCGTTACAGGATTGGCCTGGCAACTTCAAACAGGCACAATCCACTAACGTGGTGCCCCGTCAACTTCAACGGGAACACACCGATACAAACACAGCCCCACAACAGCAAAACGGGAACGCCGTTACAAATATGGTGCCCTGGCAACTTAACGGGAACGCACCAACACAAGCTGGCCTGGCACCTTCAAACAGGCACAACTGACAAAACACGGCATCCGGCAACAGCAAATGGGTAGGTACACCGTTACAAGAACAGTCCATCGCACCAAAATGCTGCTGCCACAACATTATAGCAGCAGCACGCCAGACATGCATACATGGCATTCCCAAAAGCAGATACCTGGAGTCAAATTCATCCATCACACTGTTTGTTAGGGCTGAATTTTCCAGTGACAATAGGAAATCCCGCATAAGGCTCATGTGATGAGATCTGTACACCAACTCAGGGTATATTCTAGGACGAATTTCCAACCGGTTACGGTACAATGAAGAGTCGGGGGGTCCCCCTCCGGAAATAGTTTTCAAAATACAACCCAAATATGGCACTCGACAGCAATTTAACAGATTTCTTGGTGCTGGAGTGTCGCGCGGAGCTGTTGGACTGTAGCAACGCCGTTGCTACAGCTCGATGACGTGGTTCGACCGTACAAACCGTACAAACTCGTGACCCTAGTACCAGCCCACGCGGCTTCGCTGGAAGTATCCATCCAGAAAAAAGCGTATGACCATTCACAGCTCCATTCACCCACAGAAAAGTACGGGCGGTTGGAACTGATTTGTAACTTTTCAACCGGTCGAAAACCGGTTGGGGCGGTTCTAGAAAATTCCCTGCAACTATAGTCACAGTATCAATGCACATTAGTAGAGCATAAGAACTCACTTGCGCTCATACCCTGTCACGTAGAGATGCTACTCTACGTGTACTGTTCCGATGTCCATTGGGGTGGTATGCCGGCCACTTGCCAGATGTAGAGCTTTTAAGCCGTACTTTGCCACCGTCTGCTTGCCGTATCACCACCTCACTTGCAACTCTGGATTCCAGGACTGTCGCTCCAACAATGGGCATGGAGCAGGAGCTAACCTGATAACAGTTGAGAGCGTGACAGAGTATCTTATTTAAATAAGGCCGAGTAAGGTGGATCCCTTTGGCAAAAGTGAACACAGGCTTGGTGCTACAGGCATGGGCTGTCATGTACCGGAATAGCCAATACCGGGCATGTTTGGTCGACAGTAGATGGAACTGCGACGGCTCCACCGTATATGGCCGCGTCTTAGTGACCTTCAGGCGCAACGTGACCAAGTCAGGTGCGAGACTCCCAGCCTCCCACACAAATACTCTTTGGCTGTCAAACGAGTGAATACTAGTAGATGATGCTAAATACTCGCTGGCAAACAATAAGCCATACAAGGCCAGTAGTATACTTACCCACAGCATAGCCTGATCTACAATATGACTGATTGGATCGTTGTAAGTATTGCCGAAAATGGATTAAGTCGTCCACTAAAAGCTCTTTGAAACTCGGATGTTGAGCCAATATGGCAATAATAAAATTAATGTAGAAAGGAAAAGGACGTATGGATATGAGTGTAGAGTAACTGTCACTATATACTAAATACAGTCAGAAAGTGCAACAACCAGGCACTAAAACATTTGACGACCCGACTCCTGGCTTCAACACATCTCCGTAGTGTTAAGGAGAGACCAAAGAGGGAAAGGTAATACTGGTTTCGTCATCGTCCAGTAACAATCAACATTTCTTGTTCTTGTGGGACTGTAGCTTCAACTACTAGCTTGTGCTCATTTTCGTTGCGCTTACCTTCCCCTCTTTGGTCTCTCCTTTTAACCTTGAACCTTCCAAGTTGGAAGGCTGTTGGTTAGCGCTACGGAGATGTGTTGAAGCTAGGAGTCAGGTCGTCGAATGTCTCAGCACTCTGTCAGTTTTGTGCCTAGTTGTTGCATTTTTTTACTGTAGTAGCTAGTTACAGTGGTGGACAGTTACTCCTAACTCGTATCCATATGTCCTTTTCCTTTCTAATAAAAGCTCTATCCGCAAATATGCCGAGGTGGCTTGCCGTATCTCCCTCTATGCCATGCAACACAACTGTTGAGCGAGCAGCTTTTAGGCCAGCTCCATTGCACAACAGGTAATAGGCTACTAATAGCGTAACGCAGCTAGGTAAACACGAATCGATGAAAGAGGCAGACTTCTTAGAACAAAGAGACTAGTTGTGAAGGACACAACATTTTCAGCAGTCAGCAGTAGGAGAAATTGCTCTTAATTATGCAGCAATACTAGGCTTACACGTTTGTGTCATGCGTTCTGAGACGGAGTCCTTGACTAGCTCGTCACTGGCCGCACTCAGAGCAGCAGTCGTCACTACACATGGGTTGGGAAGCAATGGACAAAATTAACACTTGCCATGCACACATGCACTGCTTACCAGCTAAGTTAATATGTCATACTGTACTGCAGCAAGCAAGGAACTGGCAATACCTGCACCAGGCCTATCCACTGTGACCCATGCCATTGTGAATGAAAAGAGGCAGCACTTGACAGTATGAGCGGTGTGATGAACGGGAATGCATAATACAAGCCAGTCGAGCATTGGTACATGTACTTACGGACGCAAGTTGGCTGCACACCGCTCCACTGGCCGTTGATTTCACAAGTACACACGGCCGAGCCCATAAGGACATAGGGAGACTGCACACAAACGTGGTCGTGTTGCTGAACATCAAGCCGT